AGCCCCCAGAAGTGGGTCTGGAAAAGGAACACAGCTAGTCTGACTGGAGGGAGTGAAGAGCAGGTAATGAGGGTGTCCTTGCTGGGGTGGGAGAGGGTCTGCCTGGGGAGCAGAGGAGGTGGAGGGGGCAGGCCAGGCTGGTGCTGAGCCAGAGAACCCTCCCTCCCCCTGCAGCTTCCTCTGCAGTGACTGTGGTGATGCTGGTGGAAGATGAAAAAGTAGCATGATAAAGTCAACATTTCCCTGCTCCCTCAGATGGTTTGAGAACGAGGAGGAGAAGGTGAACTCGGGAAGCCCCCGGCCTCCAGCACAGCCCTGCCCTGGGAGGGCCTGATCAGGCCCTGGAGGGTCACGGGTGTCTTTCAGGGGAGTCTCCAGACACGGGGCGGGGCCGGCAGCGCCAGGAAGTGGAGATGTGGTTCCCCCTCAAGCGGGGTGCAGTTGGACCACAAATCTCTTCCTCCCCTGCACCTCCCCTCTATGTCCCCCCAGCCCCCCCCTTCCGGCCTGAGTCACCGCTCCCAGCAGGCCCTGCGGGGACTTCCGGGTGGCCCTGAGCTCTGGAGGACTGTGGTCTCCAGCCCGGGAGATGCTGCTTCTGCAGGTGCCAGGTACAGGTGGGCGGGAGGGAGAGTGTGTGCCCAGGTGTGGGCAGAGCCCGCTCCCTCCCCTTCTCCTGCCTTCCCCCTCTCTCCCTCTCCCTCTCCCACTCACCCTTCCCCTTCCTCCTTCCCCCTCCCCTCACTTGTCCCCTCCCCCTCGCCTCTCCAGCTCCCTGTATTGCCCTCCCTCTCCCTCTCCTACCTTCTGCTCTCCCTCCCCCTCCCCCTCCCCCTCCCTCATACCCCCCATTCCCCCCTTGCCCCTCTGCTGTCTCTCCTCCACCCCTCCCTCTTGCTCCCCCTCCCAGGCCCCTTCCAATCTCTCCCCTGTCTCCCTTCCCCCCCTCTGCCATCTGCTCTCCCTCCTGCCCCCTCCACTTCTGGTATCCCAACCCCTCCCCTAGCTCTTCCCCTCCCCCTCCTGAACTCTCTCCCCTCCCCCTTCTACTCACCCCCCTTGCCTTCCCTAGCTACTTTTGTAAATAAAACTCCCCCCCACCCCTCCTCATTCTCTCCATATGTTTCCAGCTGTTATTTCTCCTCATGTTCTTTCTGTCCTGTACACAGGGCGGGCGGGTGGTGCAGCTCACAGATACCCTGGTCATTTCTTGGTTTTATTTTCTTTCGGTTTCATTTTCTAGAGTTTTGTTGCTGTGCCTTCTACCTCATTTTGGTTTTTTGTTGTTTTTTTTTTTTTTTTCATATTTTTAAACATTTGTTTATTTATGCATACAAGAACTGGGGTACAGGCTAGAGGTGGAGGGGGAGGTGAGAGGATTCACCAGAGACAGAGTGGGGAACAAAACAGGCAGACTGACTGAAATACACTTCTGGGGGCAGTGGCCAGGGAGACAGAAGAGGTCTGCTGCACCAGGTGGGTAGCTCCCTGGCTGGGGATCGAAGTCTTGCTGCACAGGCTGGGGACAGCTTCTTAGGTTGCTTCTTAACTTACTCTTGCGCCACCAGGGAGGCCTGCCTTCCGCTTCTTAATTTGTTTTCCAAAAATAAAATCAATTATTAGTCACACTCATTTACCTTTACATCCGATGCCAGACTTACCTTTTCTACAGTCTTTTATTTATTTTGAAGATATATTGATTTATGTATACAAGAACTGGGGTACAGGCCAGAGGTGGGGGGTGTGAGAAGATGTATGGGTTTATTTCTAGGCTATTGTATTTCAGTGATCTACATGTATATCTTTATGCTAACACTTTTAAATAGTCTTGACCATTGTAGCCATGTACCTTTGAAATTGCACCTGTGACTCTTGCAAGGTTGATCTCTGTCAAGATTATTCTGACTATCCTGGATTCCTGGATTTTTCAATGAATTTTAGGATGATTTGGCTGATGTTACAAAGACAAAAACAAAATAAAACAGCAAAGTAACAACAACAGCAAAAAAGAACCACAGCTTTTATATATAGGGAGTGCCCTGAAACTGTGTGATGCTTAGGGAAGCATGGTCAGCTTCACAGTATGAACCCGCAGTGTGTGGACATGGAATGTCTCCTCACGTATTTGGTCAATTTCATTTATTTGAAAGATGTTCAGTTTACAGTCCACTGGATGTTCGTTTAAATCTCTGCGTTTTGTGACAGAAGATTCTTGCTCACTATGTAGTCACATTTTTCGATTACTACAAATGAAGGGCATCATTTCTACTGTGTCCCACTTCTGTTGGCAAGCTGAGACACAACACACAGGCAAAGCCACTAGATTCCTCCTCATGTGTAGAGTCTGACCCTGATATTTTTTCATTTCTGAGTTTTACAGTCCAAGTTAACTTCTTCATTGTAACTGCCAGAAATCACAGTGTAGAGGGGCTTGCAGTGAATTTGGGACTGTGCTTTGTGGTGAAGGTAGTGACCAAATCTAGGCCAACGTTTTAAAAAAAAAACTGCTAACGTGGGTTTGTATGGTGTGTGTGTGTGTGTGTGTGTGTGTTTTATGGGAGGCAGTGAGGGTGGCCATGGAATCTGAAAGTGGTCAGAACTTGCTTTTAATGGCTTCCCCTTGTCTCTCTCTCTCTCTTTCACAGACCACAGGCCCCACCTCAGAAGATCCAGGTCATAAGGTGAGTGGAGGCCACCACTCCAGCCCGGGGTCATTGGACAGAGCTTCTGTGCAGGAGTGCAGTGCCCCTTGGCACCGAGAGAAGGCTGATACATCCTGGGGCAAGGGACTGGGGATTAACCCATCAAGGATCAAAGTCTCTAGAAGAAATTCTCTGTGGAGGCAGAGGGTCATCCTGATCTTTGAGGGGCGGAGCCTGATAAGTAATTTAGTTGAATTCCAGTGTTTCATTCAGAGCACTGTCACTTCACAGAACAGCTTGCTGAAGTTTCCCCATTTCCACTGTCTCCCCACAACCCACAGCAGGGAGGGGGGGCACACTATGTTCCCTGAGCAGGGGCTGGGGGAGGAGGCCCCTTAGCTCCTGTTCCTGCTCTCCTGTCCGGCTCTCAGATGCGGGTTGTGAGAATCTAGGGGGTCCAGTCCCTAATGTCCCAACCAGACCTGTCCCCCACTGCTTCCCACCTACCCACGCCTTGGTGGTGCCAACCCTGGATTCCCCTCCCTTGCTCTGGGGACAAGTCATGGTTCAGAAGGGACAGGTGTCTCCCGGGGTGTCCTGGAGCTCGGCCCCAGCACCACCTCATCTTCCCACTGTTTCCAGTTCTGTTTCTCTCCCCTTGCCACAAACGACAGAAGGACAAAAAGCTTTGCATTGTCTTGTTGAGTTTATTATCATCCACTTCGGGAAACTGTTTATTTTGTCCTGTGGGTGTGTGAGTTGGGGCAGGAGACCCGGGAGTGTGGAGGTCAGTAGGGTCAGATATACTTTGTCTCACTGGAATCCCGCACAGACCCCCGTCCTAAGTGGCCCTACTGCTCACAGAGAAACGGTTCGGGCCACTGATTCTCTGGACATTCAGTCCAGTAGGAAAGAGTCTCACTCCCTCTCACTGAGATCTCTCTCCGGCTGCAACGTTTGTGAGTCATGTCCTCTCTTCTCTGTCTCTCTCAGCTCCTCCCCAAGGAGAGTCTCTGCTGTGAGGGGACGTGGTGTGTCTGGGTGTGATGGAGCCTTATCCCTGGGCTGACATGACGCCAGTGACACATAGCTCATGGGGCTGAAAAGCTGAAATTTAAATACTATCACTTTTCAATAACTTCTATTTTAGTGGTCAGATGTGATGGGGATCAGTGTTTGTACAAGGCATCCACAGGGCGAGCATCTTCCAAATCCTCAAAAGTTTTCTTTTCCAACTAGATTTCCAGGCTTGGGAGATAGAAAAGCCCAGGTCACCTGCATGTCCTTCAGTGTGAAGAATTGTGTCTACTTCATCTCTGCCTCTCACCTCGACTTGGAGCTTTACAGGAAGATCCATGGCCTCAGCCCCAACTAACAAGAGGAAGAGAGAGGAAGCAACATGCTCCATCTGCCAGCAGCCCATGACAGAGCCTGTGAGCTTCGACTGTGGGCACAGCTTCTGCCACCAGTGCATAGAGGGCAGCATTGAAGAGCAACAAGAGACATCAGGGGAACAACCAGGGATATCAGGGGTGCAACCAGGGAGGAAGAGACCGAGATGGGGGAGATGGGCCTCTGACTATCGTTTGCTTCGGGCATCAATGCGTGAGGAAGTTATCGGGCATTTAGATGAATACATCAATGCAGCTGGCAAGGAGTTAGAGGGTGAGAGGCTGTGTGAGGAACATGGGGAGAAGCTGTGCCTGTACTGTGAGGACACCGGGCAGCTCATCTGCAGTGGCTGTGCACAGTGCCCCGAGCACAGCGGACACAACCATGTCCTTGCTGAAGATTTGTGTCTGCGCTCCAAGGTGAGTGAGGGCCCCGATCCTTCAACGGCACGTGATCTGAGGCTGAACTCCCAGATCTAAGGTTGTTTAGGCTGAAACTCAAGAATGTGATCCGGAATGAAACTTTCATCATCTCATTCTTTGGAAATTAGTTCATGTTAGTTCCCAAAACACATTCCTATGGTCCATATGGACTTTCATAGGATGGGGAGAGTCTCCTCCATGTTCACTCTCGCTGTGATGCCCCCTGCTGGAGAATACAGTTGTCCAAACACACACTGGCATGTTTTATCTTAACATGTGTATAAGTTAGAGTAACCACAATGTGCAAGGACGTGTGACAAATTCAAAAAACAAGCACAGAGACCACTAGATTTTATTTCTCCTGCAGTCTGTGAGACTAAACCAATCAGCAAAAGAAAACTCCCTGGAGTTCCTTCCTGTAGGTTTGGACCCCACCATTTGGGAGTGAATCCAGGGAGCTTCCTAGATGAGAGTCCTGATGGACACAGACCACTCTCCACGTAGAAGAGGTGGAGAAAGGCTTCTTTTAGATGGTTACTGTCTTGTTCTGGGTGCAGCGTTTCCTGGTGAGGCTGTAGAGGTCCATATAGCTCCACCTGAGGGTCAGCACATGAGGTTCAAGATGCCGGTAGTCACAGCCCTTGGGCAGGTTAGTTACCCCTTCCCCAGACTCTGATTCTACAGCAGACATGATGGCAGCCATCCTGCCATGAGCCCTGGGAATTAGGGGTCACCTGTATCACTGCACATGGTCCTCGGGGCACTTATACTGAACGTGTAAGGATTCAGTGATATTTCATGTCATTCTAGTGTCTTGGAAGGCAGGGATTCCTCTCAGGAACAAAATCAATCTGTCATCTTAACTGTATTTTCTTCTTCACCCACTTTTGATCAGAAAAAACTCCAGGAAGCTGTGACAAAACTGAGAGAACTGTTACACCAGTCTAGGAGTATGAAGTTGAGCACAAGAGAACAAACAAGGGAATGGCAGGTAAGAATTTGAGGCTTTTCTATCCTAGAACATACACGGAAGGCGTGGTTGGACAAAGCATAAACTTGATTATTTATTCTCACCAGCCCATGAGAAATAGATGACAGCCAAAGAACATGCTTTATTTTTTTTTTTTTTTTAACATTTTTTTTTAATAGAGGCATGTTTTTTATTTATTTGTTTGTTTGTTTGTTTTGTTTATACATGCACTGGGTACAGTCAGAAGCGCGGGAGGGTGAGAGAATTCACAGAGCCAGAGCGGGGAGCAGAGCAGGCAGAAGGACCGAGGTACACTGCTGAGGGGAGCAGTGGGCGGCAGGAGAGGTCTGCGCGCCATGTGGGACCCTCCTCCGGTGGCAGGGGAGCAGCCGGGGATCGAACCGGCGCCGCAGAGGCCGCGGGCAGCTTCGCAACCCAACGCTCAACCGCTGCGCCACCAGGGAGGCCCGAACATGCTTTATTTTTATGTCCCTAGTGTCTATGTGAATTTCTCTGTATTTTTCAGCCTTATAATAGTGATTGGTTCAGATGCCCAGCGCCTCAGCCTGTAGAGACAGAATTTTGATCTTTCTTGCATAGAACATCCTAGACTGGGTTTCATGGCAAAAATGCCTTAGATTAAAGAATTGAAATTTTAAATAACTTCATGACTTGAAGACCTCAAACATATCACTTTGGCACATTCATCACATACAAGGTTTGATTTGCCCCCCACATAGTCTCCCCCATGTTCCTCAAACCATTCTTTGTGAGCAGTGAGAACAGGGTCCCTCCAGGTGAGCTCATGTTCCTGCCACTCATGAGGCTGGCGATGAGGACAGAGCTGCTGCAGCTCATGTGCACTGGGGGTGTCTGAGACTTTCCATAGCTGCCCCTCTCCTGGGAAGAGAACCCAGCCTTGAGTGAAAGATTGAGGTCACCCCTCAGTTGGCAGTTAGTGCTCCAGACTATTTAGTCATTCTCCTCTCTCAGGGGTGTCTTCCAGCCTCTGCTCTAATCCCTTGTGTGTGGGTGTTAAAGTTCATACTCAAGGGACAGTCACATGTCCCTCATTTTAGGGTCTTGGGTAGTGGGGAGAACCTCCATTGTTACAGATATGAAGGGAAACCACGTCAGTGCCAGAGTTCAAGGTGCTGTCTCCTTGTCCAGTTCTTGCTGATCGGTGGCCTTGATCACAATATCTCAGTCACGGCCACACTGCGTGAGCTGATAGTGTAGCCATGGAAACTGCAGTTCTGTATCTGCCCAATTAGAGTGAGTCCCAACAGATGGGTGGTTTGCTTTCCAGTGGTCGTAAAGTCATGGATGGTAAAAGGACTCTGGCTGGGGGATGCTTATTTCTGGTAACTATGATCACATTCTGTGCCCCAGACCTCCCCTCGAAGTACAGGGAAGTCACCTACCAGCCTTGCTTGGTGATGTTCATCCAAAGCCTTCCCTTCACACACTCCCTCAGAAATGGAGATTTACACATCCCTGTGCCTGGTGGAGAGCAGGTGGGAGAGGAACAAAGGTGATGGTGTTTAGTGGGTGGGTTTCATGTGGGAAGGATGAAGTACTTGTGCCGATGGAGAGTGGAGATGGCAGCACCACAGTGTGAAGCTGATGACAATAAAGAGAATTATGACAGCCTCCCTGTTGATTCAGCAGAACATGGCTTTGGATCCTCCTCTACCTCCAAGGACTCATGTGAATAGTGTCAATATAGCTGAACAGATTTCTCTGTGTGTGTGTGTGTGTGTGTGTGTGTGTGTGTGATGGGGGCATAGGGAGAGTGTTAAACAAATCATAAAATTCCCCATGTTCCCCATCTAACATATTCTACTTACTGGCATCAACATCACACTGTGGAGCCCCCATCCCCACTCTCCATCTGTACAAAGGGTTGCTCTTCCCAACCTAAAACTCTCCGCAGTAAACAGTGTCCCCGTGTCCCTTCTGTCACCTTCTGGTCCCCCATTCCATATTCTGTTTTTAAATCCTACTAGCTCATGAAAATATTGTCCTTTTCTCTCTGACTGAAGTGTCTCCCCGGCTTATCCATGTTGTAGCACAGCAGTTTCCTGTCTTTAAGGGTGACTATTCTGGCAGCTTGTCATGAGGGAGCAGGAGCACTCAGAGAGGAGGAAGGAAGTTCTTTATTTACACTGACAGCTTCACACCAGCAGCCTGGAGGAGATCTCTCTCCACAATCTGAGCCCCAGCAACTAGGTTACAGAGTATTTATTAAGTAAATCAAGGAACACAGCAGCTGGGGATGCGTGACTCAGGGCGCGTGTGGCCTGGAGGGCGCTTCTCCGTTGTTCCCTGAAATTCTCAGTCTACAGGCTCTGTCCCGACTTCAGCTCATCCACAGTCATCCTGACATTGTCCACTTCATTTCCCCCTTTTTAATTTTTATTCCATCATATCTTTGATGCATAGATCTCAGGGTACAGCCTTCGAAGACAGTTTTTTTAGGGTTCCAGTGTGTGTGAAAGAAACTACAGTCAGTCACCAGGCACTGCACAGTGTACCGTTTTTGTTTCGTCTTCCTGGACTTTCTGACCTCCCCTCGGGTGTATGTGTTGGTTAGTACTTAGAATTTACTGTCCTTGTCTCAGAAGCCTCTTTAAGTCTCCTGAAGTCCCTGCCCCCACTGTCCCTGAAGCTGCCTACTTAACCCTGACTTGCCCTGGGGCTCCCTACCCCTTGTACAGATGGAGTCCCCCACTGCTGTTAGGACAGAGGGCGTTGATCTGACCAGTACCCGCCTCCTGCTGAAAATGGTTACGCTGTCGAGCAGTCAGGGCTCCACTGCAGGGCGGCGATCTAAGGGCCCTGGGAGGAAAGATGGTGGAGGCATCCTATCAGCCTCCATCTGAAGGACCATCAGACGTCTGCTGGCTTTGAGGTGACAGGAGATGATTCTGATGAGGGTGTTGAGGATGCAAGGCCCAAACAAAAAAATAAACAAAAATTAGTGAGGGATCCAGCAAGAATAGCAACCAGGGCAGAAATTGGTTTCCAATAGAGGCCAAGAATGATTGTAGCCTACTAGGCTCTTGTCCTGCCTGTGATGCCATCTGTAATACAGATATTTTTTAATAACTTTAGGTTTTCTTTTATCTCACTGCAAGTGTTAAAGTGTCCTGGCTCAGGCTAGTCATCTCTAGGCCAGTCTAAGTAGAATGCAACAAGGAAGAGTACAAGGCCCCTGATTCACCAAGTAGGTTTTGGGTTTCTTTTTTTTTTTTGGCCTGCCACTTTTAGGTCATCTGATGCTTGTCTCACCTCTGGGCTTCTTTAGGAAATGTCTTCCGCTGTAGCTGGTTTCGTAGTCAGAGGTGGCTGATGGTCAAACCTGCCCTCCCATCTTGGCCTGTGGTTTGGGCTGCCCCCCGTCTCTCTCAGAGAGAGGAACAGTCCCTCTTGCAGTGCCCTGTGCAGTGGCACTGAGGACACGACATGGGGGTGGCTTCTTCAGACACTCGTGGCTGAGGTGTCCCGGCTGCTGGCAGTAGAAGCAGGATAGCAGCCCCCGAACATGGTGAGGTCCCAAATGCCTGGGACAATGTGGCCTTGCGGGAGTCTGAGGTGGTGGGAGGATGGCAGTGCCAGCTGCCATACTGGGCCCTTCTCTTGTCCTTCTCCCTATTTTTTCCTTTTTTTTTTTCCTCAGCCTGACCAGTCTCCTCCCTGTCAATGTAGGTCTCAAGACCATGTCCAGTCACTTGTCGTTTTACATTTTGTAGTGAGTCACTGTAGCACATACACATTTGTTTTCCCTATGATCCCTCTCCCAAACCTGAACACTTTCTTTGCTTTCTTACTTTAACACTTGCTTTTGCTTTCTTTACTTTTCTTTTTTTTTTCTTTTTGGTTTTTAAATTTTGTATATTTTTTTATATTGTTTTTCATTTTCATATAATGTATGCATTTATACCTTGGTTATAGTCCCCATACAATTGCCACCACCCTTGTTTTGCTCATACTCCCTTCTCCCCCACCTGGGGTGTGTCTCTGATTTATAGTTGCTTATTGATTTTGATTTTTACTTTATTATAATTAGTTTTTCCTGATCCCTTATTTAGGTTTTCTAAATTCCTGCTATGAGTGAGACCATCCGGAATTTTTCTTCTTCTTTCCGGTTTATTTCACTGAGCATGATCCATTCCAGGTCCATCCATGTTGCTGCATATTGCATGTGTTTATCTTTTTTGATTGCTGAGTAATATTCCATGGTGTATATATACCAAATCTTCTTGATCCAGTCATCTATTTTTGGGCATTTGGGTTGTTTCCATAGCTTAGCTATTGTGAATAGTGCTGTGATAAACAAAGGGTTGCAGGTGCCCTTTTGATTTAATGTTTCTGTGTTCTTTGGGTAAATACCTAGGAGTGGAATTGCCGCATCGTATGGAAGCTCCATCTTTAGCAGGTTGAGGAATCTCCACACAGCTCTTCATAGTGGGTAGACCAGTTTGCATGATCACCAGCAGTGCAGGAGCGTTCCTTTTTCTCCACAACCTTGACAACATTTGTTGTTGCTAGTTTTTTAATATGTATGTAAGGTGGTATCTCATTGTAGTTTTGATTTGCATTTCCCTGATTACAAGTGATGCTGAATGTTTTTTCATATGCCTATTGGCCATTTGCATTTCCTCTTTGGAGAAGTTTCTTTTAAATTCTTCTGCGCATTTTTTGACTGAGTTGGTTACTTTGTTTTTGTTGAGTCTAGTCAGCTCTTTGTAGATTTTTGTGATCAGTCCTTTATCATTAGTGTTGTGTGCAAAAATTTTCTCCCAATCTGTGGGGTGTCTTTTTGTTTCCATTATTGTCTATTTTGCTATACAGAAGCTCTTTAACTTGTTGTTAACTAGCTGTTTATCTTTCCCATCACTATCACTGCTTTGGGTGATGTGTTTCTAAAGATGTTACTGAGGTCTATGTCATGTAGTGTTTCGCCTATTTTTTGTTGATGTATTTTATGGTTTCAGGACTTATGTCTAGTTCTTTAATCCATTTTGAGTTGGTTTTTGTACTTGGTGTGAGGTGGTACTCAGGCTTCATTCTTTTGCATGTAGTGACCCAGTTTTCCCAAACTTGCTTTTGTCTTTTCACTTCTTGCTTTGTCCTTTTAACACTTTGTTAAAATTTCTTTTCCTTGCTCAATGTCAGACCTTCAACACTTGCTTTTGCTTTCTTTAAACACTCTCACTATCTTTTAGACTTTTAACACTTGCTTTTACCTTCTTACTTTTTCTAATATCCCTCATTCATACCTTGAAAATGTCCATATTAAATATTTTTTCTTTTAAATGCACATGTCACTTTATTTCATTTATGATTATGACAACCACTGTGTTTAGTAAGACATTGCAATAGCCATGATATTAATATCTCTTTGAATTAGATGACTTAGATGGAAACACATGTTTTTAAAGAGAACAGTTTTCCTTTTTTACAATTAGAATTCATCTCAGTCCCATATGCATAGAACCCTGATTGTCAGACTCTCTCCGAGAGACACCTTGAGATGACTGGTGCAACCACAGTTGTTGGGCAGCCACGTGTGTGAGACCTTGCTCCCTTGTTTGTGGATAGCTCACTTGCTACAAGAGGCCTTCCAGGACCTTTTTCTGAGGCATGAGGGATTGACCCCTGGAACATTACTTGTGTGAGCTGTTTATTTTAGTTGGCATTCAGTCCCAGTGAAAGGTTTTAAAGTTATCTTACTTGTTCCACCTGCACTGGTAACCTGCCACCATGCAGTGACCTCTTCTCATGAGCTGTGTGTGGATTCTTCACTAAGGAAAGGCCTGCGTGATGAGTGTTTTAATGTAGACTCATCTGAAGGCAGGCAGGTCCCTGAAAGAACGTCTTGCGGGGGGAGCACAGGGTCTCCCGGCCTCCGCCTCAGGCCACCCACACATGGCTGTGATCACAGTCACAGTGAGCAGGTTACTGGGCTCTGGGAGGATCAACTTGCTGCCATGCTCTGGGCCCTCGGACGTGGGGATGGGACTCTTCAGACCTGGGCGTCCATCAGCATCCAGGTGGGACTCACTGATTTCCTTGTTGGATGGAGGGTTTACAGAGACACCCCTCATGCCAAGACCCATGACATGGGGATTCCCTAACTCTCCTTTTGTCCTTGTGTCTCTGCAGGACATGAAAGACACCGTGACCAGGTGAGCACTATCCTTATTTGGAGGGAAGGGGTATGAGTATATAGAGATGTCCCGCTGAAGAAATCCATCCTCTTCTGAGTCTAGGAGTTCAGTCGCAGAGTCTGCGTCTTCAGAGCCTCACACTGACCGCAAGGATTCTGAGCTCCACTGTGATGAGAGCAAAAAATTAAAGACTGACGAAGGTATGAAAAGTCAAGAATTCTTCAGTGTTAATCAGGTTCACAACCTACCCCAGACAGGCTGACAGATATACAGGCTGTGTAGTTATTCCAGTGGAGATTTGAGGATGCCCCAGTGCTTCCTCAGGGACACTAAGTACTGGGGACCTTTAGGGACTCTTCAGATGCCTACTCGCCTATATATTAACTGTGTCTCCCAAGATTCCTTGATTCCAGTTTCCCTTTTACTGGTTGTCATAAAAATAAGTGGATCAACCGTTGTAAGGAGCTTAGTACAGTAACTGGGGCATAAAGTTTACACTTATTATTTCAGTAAGTCTGAGAACAATACCTAAAGGTAGATGATACAAATAATTTTAGGACCTTGACGCAAATGACATTTTCCAATCCCTCATCCGCAGTTACAGAGTTATAAGGCTCTAAAAAGTTCAGTGTTCCCCCCTAACTCATTTCTCTGCTAAAGTAGCCCGAACCAGAAATTATTTGCTGGCTTATTCAGTTACATGTTGCTGTAGAACACTTAAGTGGCTTGGAGCTAACTACACACATTTTCTGAGAGAATTGTGTGTGGGAAATCTGGGCACAGCTCAGCTGGGGTCACAAAAAGCAGTTATGGTGCTGGCTGGGCTGCATGTCATCTGCTGATTCCTGTGGGGAATTATCCTCTCCCCATCTTCTTCCAGTTGTTGGAAGAAATTGTTTCTTTGTGGATAAAGGACATGCCCTGATTCATGTCACCTGAGAGCTGCCTCAGCTTCTGGAAGCCCCCACATCAAATGGCCAATAGGCCTTCCACATGGCCACCAATGTTTTTAAAGTGAGCTGAGCTGAGCAGATAGTCTTTAAATTAATCAGCTGTAATATGGGGTCTGATAGAAAGCAACATTACCATGGTGGCACATCCTATCATTTTGCCATTGCTCAGAGGTAATTCTCAGGTTATGCCCATGCTCACATGGAAGGAGTTATACAAGGCTGGGACAATGAGGAGGTAGGGATCCTGCCAGTACCCTGGAGTCACCCTCCATTGTGGTTCCCTTTGAGCTGCATTCATCTGACTGTACTTACATCTTTAGTAGTCCTACTTGGTGCAGAACTGTCAATGTATGGATTGAAGGCTATGGCAGACCCTGCTGTGGTGGGCACATAATTTAAAGGACCTGTCCATTGTCAGTATAATCTCAAAAATATTCCGAATTTTTATATTTGGCCCCAAGGGGAACCTGTTAGTGATTCCTCTTCCCTGTCCTGACAAGTGAATTCCACAAGCAGTTTAAAATCTCTGATTTTGATCCAATAAAGACACATGGAAGGGAAAAGTGGGAATTGATGTAACTCATGTTCAGGTTTCACTGAGTTGATTTATCTACTGTTACCTTTCACATAAGATATTACACTATGGTTCAGTGTATTTCTGAAACCAGCTTCTGTTGCCCATAAAGGATTCTTTTTCTTTTAAAAGCCCTCATTATTAAAACATTTCTTACTCCATCATTGTTACAAATAAACTGCAATCAATTAAATGGTATTTGTGGAGGCACAAAGGCCCAGGTCCCCTGCGTGTCCTTCACTGTGAAGAATTGTGTCTACTTCATCTCTGCCTCTAACCACCACTTGGAGCTTTCCAGGAGGAGCTTGGGCCTCAGTTCCTGCTGCCAAGAGGATAAGGATGGAAGCCATGTGCCCCATCTGCCATGAGCTAACGACGGATCCTGTGAGCTTCTCCTTTGGGCACAGCTGCTGCCACGGGCACATTGTGGGCAGTGTTAAGGAGCAACAAGAGGAATCATTGTGGAGCTTGGACTGTCCTTCGTGTCAGGCAGACTTGGAGATGGACAGAGACCTGCTTAGAACACTAGATCGCATTGAAGTGGAACTGGAGCTGGAGCATGAGAGGCCATGGGAGGGTCACGGGAACCAGCCCCACCAGGTCAGTGAGGACACCGGGCAGCTCATGTGCAGGGGCTCTGCGTGGTCCCCCCAGTACAGCGGACACAACCATCTTGTCAAAGCTACGGGTCCAGGCTCCGAGGTGAGTGCACCCCTGAGTCTTGCAGCAGCTCCCCCTCTAAGCTGTGCTCTCAGATTTATGGTTATTTCAGCTGAAACCCGAGATTGTGACCTGGAAATAAAAGTTTCATCATCTCATTCCTGCAAAAATTAGTACATGTTTGTTCCTCAAAACATATTCCCTGGTCCATATGGACTTTCAGAGCATGGGACAGTCTTGTCCCTATTCACTCTTGCTGTGATGCCCCCTGCTGTAGAATACAGCACACCTGGACTATTTTCTATTCACTTGTATGTAAAATTAGAGATAACATGATGTGAAGGTCATGTGACAAATTCCCAAAACAGGCAAAGAGACCACCAGATTTTATTTCTCCTACATCAGCTAGGCTAAATCAATCAGCAAAAGAAAATTTCCTGGAGTTCCTTCATGTGGGCTTGGGCCCCACTAATTTGGGAGTGAATCCGGGGAGCTCCCTAGAAGAGAGTCCTGATGGACACAGACAACTTTCCACATAGAGGAGGTGGAGAAAGGCTTCTTTTAGATGGTGACTCTCTAGTTCTGGGTGCAGCATTTCCAGCGAGGCTGTAGAGATCCGTATAGTTCCACCTGAGTGTCAGCACATGAGGCTCAAGAAGCCGATAATCATACCCTTGAGTAGGTTAGTTACCCCTTCCCCAGCCTCCGATTCTCCAGCAGACATGATGGCAGCCATCCTGCCATGTGCTCTGGGAATAAGGGGTCTCTTGTACCACTGCACATGGTCCTCGGGGCATTTATAAAGAAAGTGTGAGAATTCAACAGTATTTCATTTTCTTCTACTCTCTTGAGAAGTAGGGATTCCTCTCAGGAATCTGATGAATCTGTCATCTTAACTACACTTTCTTTCTTTACACAATTTTAATCAGGAAAATCGCCGGGAGGCTGAGACAAAACTGTTAGAACTGTTAGATCCGTCTAAGATTGAGAAGTTGGTGTCAAGTGAACAAACAAGAGAATTGGAGGTAAGAAGCCGAGTCTTTTCCATCCTGGAGCAAACACGGAGGGCATGGTTGGGCACAACATAAACTTGATTGTTTATTCTTAGCAGCCCATGAAAAATAGATGACAGCCAAAGAAACATGCTTTATTTTTATGTCTCTCGTGTCTATGAGAATTTCTCTGTATCTTTTCAGTCTTATAATAGTGATTGGTTAGGATGCCCCACTCCAGCCCTTAGAGACAGAATTTTGATCTTTCTTGCATAGAACATCCTAGACTGGGTTTCACATTATAAATAGCGCAGATTAGAGAAATGAAATGTTAAATAACTTTAGGACTTGAAGACCTCAAACATACCACTTTAACACATTCGCCACCATACAAGGTTTGCATTTTTGCCCCCCACACTGCCTCCCCTATGTTCCACAAACCATTCTTTGCAATCAGTGAGAACAGGGTCCCTCCAGGTGAGCTCATGTTTCTGCAGCTCATGAGGCTGGCGATGAGGACAGAGCTGCTGCAGCTCATGCGCACTGGGGGTCTCTCAGACTTTCCATAGCTGCCCATCTCCTGGCAAGAGAACCCAGCCTTGAGCGAAGATTGAGGTCATCCCTCAGTTGGCAGTTAGTGCTCCAGACTATTTAGTCATCCTGCCTCTCTCAGGGGTGTCTTCCAGCCTCTGCACTAATCCCTTGTGTGTGGGTGTTAAAGTTCACACTCAAAGGACAGTCACCTGTTCCTCATTTTAGGATTTGGCTATTGGGAAGAACCTCCATTGTTACAAACATGAAGGGAAACCACATCAATGCCAGAGTTCTAGCTGCTCTCCTTGTCCTGCACAATGTCCCAATTCATCCTAATCAGTCACCTTGACCACAATATCTCAGTCACTGCCACACTGAGTGAACTGACAGTGTAGCAATGGAAATTGCAGTTCTGTATTTACCATATTGAATGCTGTCCCACTAGATGGGCACTTGGTTTCAGCAGGTCGTAAACTACAGATGCTAAATCGCTCTGGTTTTGTGGATGCGTATTGCTGTTAACTATGATCAAATTCTGCGACCCAGACCTCCCCTCTGAATACATGGGAGTCACCTACCAGCCTTGTTGGTGGTATTCCTCTAGAGCCTTCCCTTCCCTCAGGACTGGAAATTTACGTATTCCTGTGCCTGGGGGTACCAGGTGGGAGAAGGAACAAAGCTGATGTTGTTCGTTGGGTTCAATTTCGTGTTGGAAGGATGAACTATTTATGCAGATGGAGAGTGGAGATGGGGGCACTACAATATGAAGATGATGCTAATGAAGAGAATTATGACAACCTCTTCCACATCTAAGTGCCTACCTCTCAGTTTATCCAGGAGCAGTAAACGTCGGCCATTCCTCCACCTCAGGGTACTCATGTAAAGAGTGTCTTCGCAGCTGAACAGATTTTTCTTCTTTATGTGTGATGAGGGCATAGGCAGAGTGTTAAAGTAAATCACAAATGTACCTGCTCCCCATCTTACACATTGCCACTCCTGGCATCAGCGTCACATGGTGGAGGCCCCATCCCCACTCTCCATCTTCACAATGGGTTCATCCCTCCAACCTGAAGCTCTACCCAGTAAACAGTATCCTCACGTCCCTCCTGCCACCTGGTCCCCCCGTTCCACGTTTGGTTTTTAAAGCTGACTAGGTGAAACACAGTCATGAACATATTGTCCCTTGCTGTCTGACGATAGTGTCTTCCCGGCTCATCTGTATTGTAACACAGCAGAGTTTACTGGTTTTTTAAGGGTTACTGTTGTGGCAGATTGTCATGAGGGAGCAGGAGCACTCAGAGAGGAGGAGGGAAGCTCTTTATTTACGCTGGAGGCTTCACACCCACAGCCCGGATAAGATCTCTCTCCACAATCTGAGCCCCGAGAATCTAGGTTACAGGGTATTTATTGAGTGAAGCAAGGGACACAGCAGCTGGGGATACGTGACTCAGGGCGCGTGTGGCCTTGAGGGCGCTTATCCCTTGTTCCCTGAAATTCTCAGTCTACAGGCTCTGTCCCGACTTCAGCTCATCCACAGTCAGCCTGACATTTTCCACTTCATTTCCCCCCTTTCAATTTTATTCCATCATGTCTCTGATGCTCAGATATCTGAGTGCAGCCTTCGAAGACAGTTTTTTTTTTTAGGGTTCCAGTGTGTGTGAGAGAAACTACAGTCAGTCACCAGGCACTGCCCAGTGTACTGTTTTTGTTCGTCTCCTGGCCTTTTTGACCTCCCCTCTGGTGTATGTGTGGGTTAGCACTTAGAATTCACTGTCCTTATCTCAGAAGCCTCTTTAACTCTCCTGAAGTCCCTGCCTGCACTGTCCCTGAAGCTGCCTATTTAACACTAACTTGTTCTGGTACTCATTACCCCTTCTACAGAGGAGCCCCTCACTGCTGTTAGGACAGAGGGGGTTGATCTGACCAGTAACTGCTTCCTGCTGAAAATGGGTGACACAGGCAAACAGCCAGGGCTCCACTGCAGAGTGTCTATCTAAGGTTCCTTGGAGGAAGGTCGGAGGAGGCGTCCTGTCAGGCTCCGTCTGAAGGACCATCTGACGTGTGCCAGCTTTGAGGTGAAAGGAGCTGATTCTAAAGAGGGTGTTGAGGATACAAGGCCTAAAACAAGAAAATAATAATAAAAATTATTGAAGGAACCAGAATGAGGAGCAACCAGGACAGAAGTTGGCTTTTTATAGAGGCCAAGACTGATAGTAGTATACTAGGCCCTGCGCCTGTAAGACCATCTGTAATATCGATGTTTTCCAGTAAGTTTAGGTTTTCTTTCTTTTTTTTTTAAAGATTTATTTTTATTTATTTATACAAGCACTGGGTACACTCAGAAGTGCGGGAGGGTGAGAGAATTCAGCAGAGCCAGAGTGGAGAGCAGAAGAGGCAGACTGTCAAAGTACACTGCTGAGGGGAGCAGCGGACATGGCAGGAGAGGTCTGTGAGCCATGTGGGACCCTTGCCGGTGGCCAGGGATCAAACCAGCTGCGGGCAGCTTTGCAACCCAGCGCTCAACTGCTGCGCCACTCGGGAGGCCCAGTTTAGGTTTTCTTTCATCTCACTAGAAATGTTAAAGTGTCCTGACTCAGGCTAGTCATCAGCAGGCCAGTCTAAAGAAAATAAACAAATGCAGAGTAAGTAAGCCCAGAGTATGTAAGTGGCCCCTGATTCCCAAGAGGGTTTTTTTTTTTTTGTCTGCCACTTTTAGGGTCACCTGAGGCATGTCTCACCTCTGGGCTTCTTTAGACAGCGTCTTCTTAACCTGTAGCAGGTTCTTCATAGTCAGAGGCAGCTGAGGGTCAAGCCTGTTCTACCATCTTGGCCTGTGGTTTTGGCTGACCCCCATCGCTTGGACGTTTCCCTAAAATACAATCCCATGATCCATATGGACTTTCATAGGATGGTGAGAGTCTCAGCCCTATTCACTATTGCCATGTTGTCCCTCTGTTGTAGAATATACTTGTCGAAATAGGCACCAGTGTTTTTTGTCTTCACATGTGTGTAACATTAGAGAGACCATGATGTGCAAGGTCATGTGACAGATCCCCAAATCAGGCACCAGATTTTATTTCTCCTGCAGTGTGGGAGGCTAAACCAATCAGCAAAAGAAGAGTGCCTGGAGTTCCTACACGTGGGCTTAGTTCCCACTAATTTGGGAGTGAACCAGGGAACTTTCCACATATAGGAGGTGGAGAAAGGCTTCTTTTAGATGGTGACTGTCTTGTTCTTGTGTGGTGTTTCCTGTTGAGGCTGTAGAGGTCTGTAAGCGTTCTCTGAGGGTCAGCCCATGAAATTCAAGAAGACGAGTCATAGTCATTGGGTAGGTTAGTTACCCCTTCCCCTGCCTCAGATTCTATAGCAGACATGATGGCAGCAAACCTGTCCCCTGCTCTGGGAATATGGGCCAGCTGTCTCACTGCAAACAGACCTCGGGGCATTTATACTGAAAGTGTAAGGATTCAACGATATTTCATGACATTGTAGTCTCTTGGCAGGGATTCCGCTCAAGAACGAGATTGATCTGTCATCTTTTTTTTTTTTAAAGATTTATTTATTTTGATACAAGAGCCTCTGGTACGGGCCAGAGGCGTGGGAGGGTGAAAGGATTCACCAAAGACAGAGCAGGGAGCAGAACAGGCAGATGACAGAAATACACTGCTGAGGGGAGCAGCTGGCGCATCCAGGAGAGGTCTGCCACGCCTTGTGGGATTCTCACCGGCTGGCATCTAACCTGCTCTGCAGAGGCTGTGGACAGCTTCACAGTGTGGCGCTCAACCCACTGCGCCACCTGGGAGGCCCTGATGTGTCATCTTAACTATGCTTTCTGTCTTCACCCAATTTTGATCAGGAAAAAATCCAGGAGGCTAAGACAAAACTGAGAGAATTGTTAGACCAGTCTAAAGGTCAGAAGTTGAAGTCAAAAGAACAAAGAAGAGAACAGGAGGTAAGAAGTTAAGTCTTTTCCATTGTAGAACATACAAAGATGGTGTGGTTGGGGAGAGCATAAACTTGATGGTTTATTCTCAGCAGAAATAGAGGACAGCCAAAGAAACAACATGCTTTATTTATACCCCCACCCCAGCCTCCGATTCTACAACAGACATGATGGCAGCCATCCTGCCAAGTGCTCTGGGAAAAAGGGGGCACCTGTATCACTGCACACTGTCCTTGGGGCACTTATACTGAAAGTGTAAGGATTCAACGATATTTCATGTCATTCTAGTCTCTTGAAGGAAAGGATTTCTCTCAGCAACGTGATGAATCTGTGATCTTAACTACACTTTCTTCACCCAATTTTGATCAGGAAAAACTCCAGGAGGGTGTGACAAAACTGAGAGACCTGGTAGACCAGTGGTTGAGTCTGAAGTTGAAGTATAGAGAACAAAGAAGAGAATGGGAGGTAAGAAGTTGAGTCTTTTCCATCCTAGAACATCACAAATAGCCTGGTTGGGCAGAGCATAAACTTAATGGTTTATTCTCACCAGCCCATGAGAAATAGTTGACAGCCAAAGAAACATGCTTTATTTTTATGTCCCTAGTGTCTCTGAGAATTTGTCTGTGTCTTTTCACCCTTATAATAGTGATTGGTTAGGATGCCCAGCATCTCAGCCCATAGAGACAGAATTTTAATGTTTCTTGCATAGAACATCCTAGACTGGGTTTCACATTATAGATCCCTCATTTTCAAGAACTGAAATGTTAAATAACTTCATGACTTGAAGACTTCAAACATATGACTTTGACACATTCACCATACAGGGTTAGTATTTGCTACCCCCCCCCCCCACTGCTTCCCCCATGTTCCACAAACCATAGTTTGCAAGCAATGAGAACAGGGTCCCTCCAGGTGAGCTCATGTCCCTGTAGCTCATGAGGCTGGCGATGAGGACAGAGCTGCTGCAGCTCATGTGCACTTGGGGTGTCTAAGACTTTCCATAGCTGCCCCTCTCCTGGGAAGAGAACCCAGCCTTTACGGAGAGATTGAGGTCATCCCTCAGTTGGCAGTTAGTGCTCCAGACTATTTAGTCATCCTCCTCTCTCAGGGTGTCTTCCAGCCTCTGCCCTAATCCCTTGTGTGTGGGTGTTAAAGTTCACACTCACAGGACAGTCACACATCCCTTATATTAGGGTCTTGGGGAGCGGGAAGAACTTCCATTGTTACGGACATGAAGGGGGGTCCTCCCTGATGGCGCAAGTTGTTAGGACTCAGCATTTCAAAGCTATCCACAGCTACTACAACATGAGTTGGATCTCCAGTCAGGGAGGTGACCCACATGGTACGGCAGACCTGTCCTGTTGCACCAGCTGTTCCCCTCAGCAGTGTATTTCAGTCAGTCTGCCTATTCTGTTCCCCACTCTGTCTCTGGTGGATCCTCTCACCCATACTTCTGGCCTGCACCCTAGTATTTATAAGCAAAAAATAAATAAATCTTTAAAAAAAAAAAAAACATGAAGGGAAACCACATTAATGCCAGAGTTGGAGCTGTTCTCTCCTCCTCCACAAAGGTTCCAGTTCATCCTGGTCACTGACCTTGACCACAGTATCTCAGTCACTGCCACACTGCGTGAGCTGATAGTATAGCCATGGAAACTACAGTTCTGTATCTGCCCAATTAAAGTGAGTCCCACCAGATGGGTGCTTTCGTTTCTCCTGGTCTAAACTCATGGATGATAAATGGACTGGCTAGGGGATGACTAATGCTGATAAAATTTTAATTTTAGAATTTTAGATGACTAATATGATCAAATTGTCCGACCCAGACCTCTCCTCTCAATACATCACCAGCCTTGCTTGTTCCTCAAAAGCCTTCCCTTCACACACTCCCTCAGAAATTGACATTTACACATCCCTGTGCCTGGTGGGGAGCAGGTGGTTAGAGGAACAAAGGTGATGGTGTTTAGTGGGTTGGGTTTCACATTGAAGGATGAACTATTTGTGCCGATGGAGAGTGGAGATGGGGGCACCACAACATGAAATGAAGCCAAAAGGGAGAACGAGTAGAGGGGAGAATGCTAAACTTTTGAGGCTGCATCTCAGAGAAAACCTGGGTTTACCCAGTGTTTGACCTTGGCCCTAGTTACACAATGAAATTGTCTAGGATCTGTCCTTTGTTCTCTTGTACCTGCTCTGAAGAAAAAGGAAATTACTCTGGTGGCCATAGAGAATTATGATGGCCTCTCCCACATCTAAGTGCCTGCCTCCCAGTTGATCCAGCAGCAGTTGACTTCGGATTCCTCCACCTCAGAGGGATCATATGAAGAGTGTCTTCATACCTAAACAGACTTTTCTGTGTGTATGTGATGGTGGCATAGAGGAGAGTGGTAAAAATAAACAAATCACAAATGTACCTGCTCCCCGTCTTACACATGCCATTCCTAGCATCAGCGTCACACTGTGGAGCCCCCATCTCCACTCTCCATCTGCACAACGGGTTCCTCCTCCCAACCTGAAAACAGTGTCCATGTTGTCCCTCCTGTCACCTGGTCTCATCATTCTACATCCGTACTTAAATCTAACTAGGTTAAAACACTGCTGAAAATACTGTCCTTTTGTCTCTGACAGAGGTATCTCCCCGGCTCATCCATGGTGTAACACAGCAGAGTTTCCTGTCTTTAAGGGTGACTGTTCTGGCAGATTGTCATGAGGGAACAGGAGCACTCAGAGGAGGAGGGAAGCTCTTTCTTCATGTTGGCGGCTTCACACTCGCAGCTGGGAGGAGATCTCTCCAAAAACTGAGCCCCAGCAACTAGGTTACAAAGTATTTATTGAGTAAATCCAGCTGCACAGCCATCATGGCTCAGGGTGCCTGTGACCTGAGGACACTTATCCGTTATTCCCTGAAATTCTCAGTCTACAGGCTCTGTCCTGACTTCAGCTCATCCACAGTCAGCCTGACATTTTCTACTTCATTTCCCTCTTTTTAATTTTTGTTCTGTCATATCTATGGTGCACAGACCTCAGGGTGCAGCCTTTGATGATATTGGTATTTTTAGGGTTTCAATGTGTGTAAGAGAAACTACAGTCAGTCACTGGGCACTGCCCAGTGTACTGTTTTAGTTTCGTCCTCCTGGACTCTTTGACCTCCTCTCTGGTGTATGTGTGGGTTAGCACTTAGAATTTACTGTCCTTGTCTCAGAAGCCTCTTTAACTCTCCCGAAGTCTCTGCCTACACTGTCCCTGAAGCTGCCTACTTAACCCTGACTTGACCTGGAAGTCACTAACCCTTCTACGCATGTAGCCCTCACTACTGTTAGGACAAGGGGCATCCATTTGACCAGTAACTGCTTCCTGCTGAAAATGGGTGACGCGGGCAAGCAGTCAGGACTCCACTGCAGGGCGGCAATCTAAGGGCCTGGGAGGAAGGACGGTGGAGGCATCCTATCACGCTCTTTCTTTGAGGCAACAGGAGATGATTCTGAAGAGGGTGCTGAGGATGCAAGGCCCAAACAAGAAAATAAAAATGAAAATTAGTGAGGGAACCAGCAATACAAGCAACCAGGACAGAAGATGGTTTTCTATAGAGGCCAGGATTCGTTTACCCTACTAGGCCCTTGTCCCATCTGTAATACCACATGTAATACAGATGTTTTTTAATAACTTTAGTTTTTCTTTTGTCTCACTTCAAGTGTTAAAGTGTCCTGGCTCAGTTTAGCTCAGCAGACCAGTCTAAGGAAACTGGCTTAAGGCAGAATAAGTGGTCCCTTACTCACCAAGAAGATGATATTTTTTGTTTGCCACTTTTAGGGTCATCTTATTATAGGACAGGGAGAGGGGCAGCCCAAACCCCGCAAACCTGCCTATTCTAAATGGGTTCTGCCATCCGCCGCATCAACACAAAACATATGAGACTTTAATGGGAAGGAAATTTAATAAAACTAGGAAACAATACAGGTAAGGCAAAGAGTCTAGTTTCTAAATGAAGCACCCAAAGTTACCCGTCCCCTCGTGGGTAAAACTCCATCCAAATGGGATTGGCCCAGAGCAAGGCCCCAAAGCCTGCCACAAGTCTAAAGCATCTTCCAGGGGGGACCCACAGAAAAGGGCCAGAAACAACCAGACAAGCCCGGAAGGAAAAGAGCAAAATCAACATCAAGATAAAAGCTGCCATGGTCACCTCCCCACGGGTCTCACCCACATCTGTGTCACCCAGTCCACGACCAAAAGACAAGCGCAGTTTCTTCACGTGTCTCTAGGCTCCATGCGCCTCCTCCAGGTCTCCTGGCTCCATCCTGCTTCCTTCCTTCCTCAGTCTCTTCTGCAGCTTCTTCTCTTCCTGCTCAGCTCCACCCTCCCTTGGGTGGGGCAGGGAACCTCCCCCTTTCCTGGGGACCACCCTGTTACAATCTGAGGTTTGTCTCACCTCTGGGCTTCTTGATAAAACATCTTCTTAACCTGTAGCTGGTTTCATAGACAGAGGCAGCTGACAGTCAAGCCTGTCCTCTCATCTTGGCCTGTGGTTTGGGCTGCCCCCTGTCTCAGGTGTTTCCCCAAAATACAATCCCATGGTCCATGTGGACTTCCATAGGATGGTGAACATCTGGGCCTTATTTACTCTTGCCTTGATGACACCCTGTTGTATATACAGTTGTTGAAATACATACCACCTTTTTTATCTTCACATGTATATAACATTAGAGAAACCATGATGTGAAGGTCTTGTAACAGATTCCCAAAATAGGCACAGAGACCACCAGATTTTATTTCTCCTGCAGTCTGCCAGGCTACACGAATCAGCAAAAGAAAACGCCCTGGAGTTCCTTCCTGTGGGTGTGGGTCCACCAATATGGGAGTGAATCCGTGGACTTTCCTGGAAGAGAGTGCTGATGGACACAGACAACTTTCCATATGTAGGAGGAGGAAAAAGTCTTCTTTTAGATGGTTACTGTCTTGTGCTGGGTGCAGCATTTCTTGGCGAGGCTGTAGACATCTATATAGCTCTGCCTGAGGGTCAGCACATGTGGTTCAAGAAGTCAATAGTCAGAGCCCTCAGGTATGTTAGTTAACCCTTCCCCAGCCTCGGATTCTACAGCAGACATGATGGCAGCCATCCTGCCACGTGCTCTGGGAATAAGTGCTGGAAGCCAGCTCAGGCAAATTGTCCCGTCAGGGGTTCCCCTAAGGATGAGATGGGGTGGATCAATCTGAGGGATTGGGGGAGGGGGAGTGAGGAGATGCAAACACTTGATCAGGGTGTAGACGACATCCTGCTGAGGGTCTCAGCAGCCCTTTATTTATACATTACAAGCAAACCAGGAGAGTGCATAAGCATATGTATTAGAGCAGGAAGATAACAATCATCACATCTTCCTCTAGAACAGCCAAGGGTCTACTTGTCCTCCAGCAGAGGTTGTAACATTTATTATTCTTTGTTTTAAAGAAGGCACAGTTGCTAAACAAAAGTGTTCTTAGAATAGTCATTTATCTTAAACAATAATTTTATTACTAGCAAAAACTTATGTGACTGAAACTAACATTTCCAAGTTTACTATGGTGAAGGATTAACTAAGGGCTGGGGAAACAAAGGGCAGGAAGTTACCTGGGGGAGGGGAAACAAAGGGATTATTTCTAACTAACCTATAAAGTTTACACTAACATATAACCAAACAATTAAAGCAAAAAACAGAAGGCTTTTATATAGAAATCATCATCTAATAGTATATTGTTTTAATAAGATATTGATTCAATGTTAAGGAACGAAGGGCCTCGAGGGTGTCATTGCCAGACAAGCCGCACTGACTCTTCCCTAGCCCCAAGCTCTTAATTAAGGGAGGAATTTTTCTAATCTAACAAAAGAGTTTTTCTACCTATTACTCCTGTACTTATTTAGATATTTCCATATCTAACTTTAAGATCAAGGGAAAATTTCTTTTTGTGTAAGATTGCTGATTGTTGTTTTAAGGAACTACAAACATTTCATCAGAGGCGGAGCCGGAGATAGTTATAGCTTTTGGTTCCCAGAATGGTTAATACGTGACATATCAGTAGTTGTAACATTGACTATTTCCAAGTGCATTATTTGTGCTGCCGTGGTTATTGGCTCAACCAGTCACAAAATTGCTGTTGACTTATTCTTGAAAGCACACTCTAACAGCTACCATACCCAGTGTCACTGAAAGGGAACTGTTAAGGAAATGGGAACTATTAAGGGAAGGAAATCTTTCCCCATTAAAGAGCCATAGACATGGAAATGTAAGAAAAAGACAAGTTTGCTTCCTTAATAAGCATATCTAAACAAGGCCTGGCAGCCTGCTAGACTGGTTGCTCTCCCCAACCATTCTCAAAAATCTGTATCCTTCCCCTTTTCCTGTGTCAAGAATTTGTATGCTAACTAGCCAATGTTATCAATGAATCACGCAGTGCCATTTGCCATCAAATTGGTTATTCAGTAATTGATCAAACAGCATTTGCAGTTTTACTTTTAAATGTGTATTTTGACAATTGCCATATACAGTAGAAACTAGCCATAAACAAATGAGGAGAAAAATAAATAAATAAATAAACAAATGAGGAGAATCTAGCAGGAGTCAGCTAACGAGATTCCTGACTTTTCAGGAATCTGCCCCATGCCTGGACCCTTGTCAGACGACATGAATAACCTGGCTCCCAGCAAATAAGGGGTCACCTGTATCACTGCACACAGTCCTCGGGGCACTTATACTAAAAGTGTAAGGATTCAACACTATTTCATGTCATTCTAGTCTCTGGAAGGCAGGGATTCCTCTCAGGGACCTGATGATTCTGTCATCTCAACTATGTTTTCATTCTTCATCCAATTTTGATCAGGAAAATCTCCAGGATGCTATGATGAAACTGAGAGACCTGTTAGTCCAGTCTAAGAATCAGAAGTTGAAGTCCGGAAAACAAATATGTGAATGGGAGGTAAGTGTTGAGTCTTTTCCATCCTAGAGCATACATGGAGGGCGTGTTTTTGGGCAGAGCATAAACTTGATGGTTTATTCTCACCAGCCCATGAGAAATAGATGACACACAAAGAAACATGCTTTATTTTTATGTCCCTCGTGTCTATGAGAATTTCTCTGTATCTTATCAGCCTTTGCAACTTTGAAGATAGTTTATTTTAGGGTTCTAGTTTGTGTAAGACAAACTACAGTCGGTCACCAGGCACTGTCCAGTGTACTGTTTTTGTTCTGTCCTCCTGGACTTTCTGACCTTCCCTCTGGTGTATGTGTTGGTTAGCACTTAGAATTTACTGTCCTTTTCCCAGAGGCCTCTTTACCTCTCCTGAAGTACCTGCCTGCACTGTCCCTGAAGCTGCCTACTTAACCCTGATTTGCCCTGGGACTCTGTATCCCATGTAAAGACGGAGGCCCTCACTGCTGTTAGGACAGTGGGTGTCGACGTCTGACCAGCCACTGCTTCCTGCTGAAAATGGTTACCCTATCGAGCAGTCAGGGCTCCACTGCAGGTGGCGATGTAAGGGCCCTGGGAGGAAGTTCGCTGGAGGCTTCCTATCAGGCTCCGTCTGAAGGACCATCTGACGTCTGCTGGCTTTGCTGCGACAGGAGATGATTCTGATGAGGGTGTAGAGGATGCAAGGCCCAAACAAGAAAATAATAATGACAATTAGTGAGGGAAGCACCAAGAGGAGCAATGAGGACAGAGGTTGGGTTTCCGTAGCGGCCAAAAGATTGTTTGTAGCCAACTAGGACCTTGTCTTGCCTGTAAGGGCATCTTTTTTTTTTTTTAAGATTTTATTTATTTATACAAGAACCAGGGTACAGGCCAGAGGTGCAGAGGGGTGAGAGGACTCACCTGAGACAGAGCAGGGAACAGAAAAGGCAGACTGACGAAATACATTGCTGAGGGGAGCAGCAGGCGAGACAGGAGAGGTCTGCTGCGCCATGTGGGATTCTCGCCGGCTGGCCTGGATCGAACTGGTGCTGCAGAGGCTGCGGACAGCTTCACAGCTCGGCCCTCAACCAACCACCTGCGCCACCAGGAAGGCCCATGGCCATCTTTAATACATATATTTTTTTAAATAACTTTAGGTTTTCTTTTATCTCACTTGAAGTGTTAAAGTGTCCTGCTCAGGCTAGTCATCAGAAGACCAGTATAAAGAAAATGGAGCAAGGCAGAGTAAGTGTCCGCTGATTCACCAAGAGGGTGATTTTTTTTTTTTTTTTGTCTGCCACTCTAGGATCACCCGAGGCTTGTCTCACCTCTGGGCTTCTTTAGAAAATGTCTTCTTCTCCTGTAGTTGGTTTCATAGTCAGAGGCAGCTGACAGTCAAGCCTGTCTCCATCTTGGCCTGTGGTTTGGCCTGTCTCTTGCACGTTTCCCCAGAATACAATCTCCTGGTCTGTATGAACTTTATAATATGGTGAGAGTCTTATCCATATTCATTCTTGCCATCATGCCCCCTTGCTGTAGAATACAGTGGTCAAAAATGCGCCAGCAGCGGTTGAGCGCTGGGTTGCGAAGCTGCCCGCAACCTCTGTCGGTTCAATCCCCAGCTGCTCCCCGGCCACTGAGGAGGGTTCCGCAAGGCGCGCAGACCTCTCCTGCCGCCTGCTGCTCCCCTCAGCAGTGTACTTCAGTCCTTCTGCCCTGCTCTGCTCTCCGCTCTGGCTCTGGTGAATTCTCTCACCCTCCCGCGCTTCTGACTGTACCCAGTGCTTGTATAAATAAATAAATAAATCTTAAAATAAATAAATAAAACCTCTCTTAAAAGCGCCAGCTTTTTTATTTTTATTTTTTTAAAGTTTTATATATTTATTTATACAAGAACTGGGGTACAGACCAGATCTGCGGGAGGGTTAGAGTATTTACCAGAGACAGAGCGGGGAACAGAACAGGTAGACTGACGAAATACACTGCTGAGGGGAACAGTGGGCGAGACAGAAGTCTGCTCCATCATGTGGGACCCTCACTGGCCTGCCGGGATCAAATCGGCACTGCAGAGGCTGCGGACAGCTTCACAGCTAGGCGCTCAACTGCCTGCGCCACCAGGGGAGGCCCATCCAGCCTTTTTTATCTTCACATGTGTGTAATATTAGAGAAACCATGATGTGTAAGGCCATGTGACAGAGTCCCAAAATAGGCACAGACACCGCCAGAATTTATTTCTCCTGCAGTCTGTGAAGCTAAACCAATCAGCAAAAGAAAACTCCCTGAAGTTCCTTCATGTGGGTTTGGGCCCCACTCAATTGGGAGTGGATCCAGGGAGCTTCCTGGAAGAGAGTCCTGATGGACACAGACAACTTTCCATATTTAGGAGTTAGAGGAAGGCTTCTTTTAGATATAGCTCTGCCTGAGGGTCAGCACATGAGGTTCAAGATGCCAGTAGTCATAGCCCTTGGGTAGATTAGTTACCGTTTCCCAGCCTCCAATTCTCCAGCAGACATTATGGCAGCCATCCTGCCACATACTCTGGGAATAAAGGGGTTACCTTATTCCCACTGCACACAGTCCTCGGGGTGCTTACACTGAAAGTGTAAGGATTCGATGATATTTCATGTCATTCTAGTCTCTTGGATGGCAGGGATTCCTCTCAGGGACCTGAGGACTCTGTCTTCTCAATTATGCTTTCTTTCTTCACCCAATATTGATCAGGAAAAACACCAGGATTCTACGAGAAGACTGAGAGAACTGTTAGACCTGAATCTGAGTGAGAATTTGAAGTCATTTGAACAAGAGGTAAGAAATTGAGTTTTCCACCCTAGAACATACAAGGAGGCCATGGTTGGGTAGAGCATAAACTTGATGGTTTATTGTTACCAGCCTATGAGATATAGATGACAGCCAAAGGTACATGCTTTATTTTTTTCCCAATTTTTTTTATTTTTTTACATCATTGTTCATTTTTAAACAATATTTGCTTCCCCCACCCCCTCAGGTGTAGTCCCCAGAGTTTCCTTCACCAATGCACCCATGCACCATCACCTCAGTCCCCTGTGCTCCTACCTCCCTCCCTCCCTCTAATCCCTTTCCTGCCTCCTCCCCTGCAGAATGTCTCTGATTTATAATTGTCTGTTTCTGCTTTGTTGTGTTTTTTATTGTTGTTATTTTTTTTTTTACACTGATGTCTTATTTGATTAGTGTCTCTTTTGCTGTACAGAAGCTTTTCAGTTTGATGTAATCCCAGGTGTTTATCTTTTCCTTGACTATCTTTACTTTGGGTGATGAGTCTTTAAAGATGTTGTTGTGATATATGTCTTGTTTTTTACCTATATTTTCTTTCATATATTTTGTGGTTTCAGGTCTTATGTCCAGTTCTCTTACCCATTTTGAGTTGATTTTTGTGCACGTTGAGAGGTAGTTGTCTAGTTTCTTTTTTTTTTTTTTTGCATGCAGTGGTCCAGTTTTCCCAGTACCATTTCATTACATGACACTTGCTTTATTTTTATGTCCCTGGTGTCCATGAGAATTTCTCTGTATCTTTCCAGCCTTATAATAGTCATTGGTTACAATACCCAGTGCTCAGGCCGTAGAGACAGAATTTTGTTCTTTCATGCATAAAAATCCTAGATTGGGTTTCACATTATAGATTCCTCAGTTTCAAGAACTGAAATGTTAAATAACTTCATGACTTGAAAACCTCAACCATATCACTTTGACACGTTCACCAACGTACAGGGTTTGCATTTGCCCCCCAGACTGCCTCCCCCATGTTCCACAAACCGTTGTTTGCGAGTAGTGAGAACAGGGTCCCTCTAGGTGAGCTTATGTTCCTGCTGCTCATAAGGCTGGAGATGAGGACAGAGGTGCTGCAGCTCATGCACTGTGGGGCTGTCTAAGAATTTCCATAGCTGCCCCTCTCCTGGGAAGAGAACCCATCCTTTTGTGAAAGATTGAGGTCATCCCTCAGTTGGCAGTTAGTGCTTCAGACTATTTTGGGATCCAGAAAGAGGAGCAACCAGGACAGAAGTTGGTTTCCTATAGAGGCGAAGATTGATTGTTGCCTATTAGGTCCTTGTCCTGCCTGTAAGGTGGGACAGATTCCGAAAACAGGAACAGACCACCAGAATTTATTATTCCTGCAGTAGGCTAGGCTAAATCAATCAGCAAAAGAAGAGTGCCTGGAGTTCCTTCATGTGGGTTTGGGCCCCACCAATTTGGAAGTGAATCCAGGGAGCTTTCTGGAAGAGAGTCCTGATGGACACAGACAACTTTCCATATATAGGAGGTAAAGAAGGGCTTCTTTTAGATGGTTACTGTTTTGTCCTATGTTCAGTGTTTCCTGGCGAGGCTGTAGAGGTCCATATAGCTCTGCCTGAGGGTCAAAACATGAGTGTCAAGAAGCCAAAGGTCATAGCCCTTGGGCAGATTAGTTATCCCTTCCCCAGCCTCTGATTCTATAGCAGACATGATGGCAGTCATCCTGCCACGTATTCTGGGAGTAAGGGGTCACCTGTATCACTACACACGGTTTGGGGCGCTTATACTGAAAGTGTAAGGATTTGATGATATTGCTTGTCATTGTTTCTCTTGGAAGGGAGGAATTCCTCTCAGGAATGTGATAAATCTGTCATCTTAACTACAGTTTCTTTCTTCACCCAATGTTGATCAGGAAAAACTCCTGGAGACTAGGACAAAAGTGAAAGAACGGTTAGACCAGTGGTTGAGTCAGAAGGTGAAGTCAAGAGAACAAACAAGAGAACAGGAGGTAAGAATTTGTGTCCTTTCCATCCTAGAGTATGCAAAGAGGACGTGGTTGGGCAGAGTATAAACTTGATGGTTTACTCTCACCAGCCCATGAGAAATAGATGACAGCCAAAGGAACATTGCTTTATTTTTATGTTCCTAGTGTCTATGAGAATTTCTCTGTATCTTTTCTGCCTTATTATAGTGCTTGGTTAGGATGCCCAGCCCCTCAGGCCGTAGAGACAGAATTTTGATCTTTCTTACATAGAACATCCTAGACTGGGTTTCACATTATAAATAGCTCAGTTTCAAGAACTGAAATATTAAATAACTTCAGGACTTGAAGACCTCAAACATATCACTTTGACACATTCACCACCGTACAGGGTTTGCATTTGCCCTCCACACTGCCTCCCCCATGTTCTACAAACCATTCATTGTGAGCAGTGAGAACAGGGTCCCTCCAGGTGAGCTCATGTTCATGCTGCTCATGAGGCTGGCGATGAGGACAGAGCTGCTGCAGCTCATGTGCACTGGGGGTCCCTGAGACTTTCCATAGCTGCCCCTCTCCTGGGACGAGAATCCAACCTTTAGTGAAAAATTGAGGATATCCTTCAGTTGGCTCCAGACTCTTTAGTCATCCTGCCACTCTCAGGGCAGCCTCTGCACTTATCCCTTTGTGTGGATGTTAAAGTTAACACTCAAAGGACAGTCACATGTCCCCCATTATAGGTTCTTTGGTAGGGGGAGAACGTCCATTGTTACAAACATGAAGGGAAACCACGTTAATGCCAGAGTTTGAGCTCTGCTCTCCACCTCCACAAACGTTCCAATTCATCGTGCTTAGTGACCCATGACCAAAATATCTCAGTCACTGCCACACTGTGTGAACTGATAGTATAGAAATGGAAACTGCAGTTTTGTATCTGCCAATTTAAAGCGAATCCCACCAGATGTGTGGTTTCTCTTCTGCTGGTCTAAACTCACAGATGATAAATGGAATCAGGCTGAGGGAACACTACTGCTGGTAACTGTAATCAAATTGTGTGACCCAGACCTCCCCTCTGAGTACACGGGAGTCATCAACCAGCCTTGCTTGGTGATGTTCCTCAACAGTCTTCCCTTTACAAACTCCCTCAGGAATGGAGATTCACATATTCCTCTGCCTGGTAGATACAAGGTGGCTGGAGGAACAAAGGTGATGTTGTTTAGTGGGTGGGTTTCATTTTGGAAGGATGAACTCTTTGTGCAGATGGAGAGTGGAAATGGCGGCACCACAATGAGAAGATGATGCCAATAAAGAGAACGTGTAGATGGGGAAATGGTAATCTTTTGAGACTGCATCTCAGAGAAAACCTGGGTTTACCTAGTGTTTGACCTTGGCAGTAGTTACACAATGAAATTTCTATCGTCTGCACTTTGTTCTCTTGTATCGTGACTGATGATGAAGGAAATTACACTGGTGACCATAGAGAATTATGACAGCCTCTCCCTTATATAAGTGCATGCCTCCCGCTTGATTCAGCAGCAGTAAACTTTGGATATTCTTCTGTTACAGAGCAACCCTGGCATAAAATGGGTTGACTGATTGTGGGTCCTCACCCGTGCCCTTATAGGGGGCTTAAGCTGCAGGCACACACGAAAGGTTAATGAAAATGTTTTTTTACAAGGAAAGGGAAATGAGAAAATGAACAACTCAGGAACAAAAAGAAGGAGATAAATTTGTAAATGCCTCCTACCCATTTCACTAACCTGGAATCCCAAATGACCCGCCGAGAACTGGCTAAAAACCACACGCCATGAGGCATAGAGCCCGACGCCCGCTCACCTGCCTGGTTAAATATCCAGACAGAGAACATGGCTGCTTAGCTCCACCCTCAGGTCCTTGCAACTCTCCCTTTGGTAGTCACGGGGTTTGTAATTCCCAATGTTTTGATTGAGCGGGGGTGGAGTCCAAAGCCTGTATGGAGTTTGCTCAGTACATCCTTTCCCCCTAACACTTCCACCTCAAAGGACTCATGTGAAGACTGTCTTCGTAGCTGAATAGACTTTCCTGTGTGTGTGTGATGGGGTCGTAGTGGAGAGTGGTAAAAAAAAACAAATCACAAAGGTACCTGCTCCCCATCTTATACATCATCTGTACTGGCATCAACTTCACACTGTGGTGCCCCCATCTCCATTCTCCAGAAGTCTGGGTGCAGCCTTCAAAGACAGTTTTTTTTAGGGTTCCAGTGTGTGTAAGAGAAACTACAGTCAGTCACCAAGCACTGTCCAGTTTACTGCTTTTGTTCAGTCCTCCTGGACTTTCTGACCTTCCCTCTGGTATATATGTGTTGGTTAGCACTTAGAATTTACTGTCCTTGTCTCAGAAGCTTCTCCTGAAGCCCCTGCCCGCACTGCCCCTGAAGCTGCCTACTTAACCCTAACTTGCCTTGGGACACAGTACCCCATGTACGGATGGAGCCCCTCACTGCTGTTAGGACAGTGGGCATCGATCTGACCAGTCGCTGCTTCCTGCTGAAAATGGGTGACGCGGGGTGAGCAGTCAGGGCTCCACTGCAGGGCTGCGATGCAAGGGCCCTGGGAGGAAGGACAGTGGAGGCATCCTATCAGGCTCAGTTTGAAGGACAATCTGAGTCTGCTGGCTTTGCGGTGACAGGTGATGATTCTGACAAGGGTGTTGAGAATGCAAGGCCCAAATAAAATCATAAAGAGGAGTAACCAAGACAGAAGTTGTAGCCAACTTGACCCTGGTCCCCCGTATAAGGCCATCTATACATAGATTTTTTTAGTAACTTTTAAGTTTTCTTTTTTTTTAAAAAAAGATTTATTTATTTATGCATACAAGAGCTGGGGTACAGCCCAGAGATGCGGGGGATGAGAGGATTCACCAGAGATAGAGCGGGGAACAAAACAGGCAGACTGACTGAAATATACTGCTGAGGGAAGCAGCGGGTGAGTTAGAAGAGGTCTGTTGTGCCACGTGGGTTGCTCCCTGGCTGACCGGGGATTGAACTCATGCTGCAGAGGCTGCAGATTGCTTCATAGTGTGGTGCTTAATCCCTTGTGCCACAGGGAGGCCCCAACTTCAGGTTTTCTTTCATCTCACTAGAAATGTTAAAGTGTCCTGGCTCAGCCTAATCATCACTAGGCCACTGTAAGGAAAATGGAGAAAAGCAGAGTAAGTGGCCCCTGATTCACCAAGATGGTGACTAATATTTTGCCTGCCACTTTTAGGTCACCTGAGGTTTGTCTCACCTCTGGGCTTCGTTAGAAAATTTCTTCTTCTCCCGTACCAGGTCCTTAAACGGCAGAGGCAGCTGATGGTCAAGCATGTCCTCCCATCTTGGCCAGTGATATGGGCTGCCCCCCTGTCTCTCTCAGGGTGTGACAGCTCCTCTTGCAGTGCCCTGTGCAGTGGCACTGGGGATATGGCGTAGGGGTGCCTTCTTCAGACACTCTTGGCTGAGGTTTCCTGGCTGCTGGCAGTAGAAGCAGGCTGGCAGCCCAGGAAGGGTTAAGGTCTCGAATACCTGGGATGATGGGGACTAGGGCGAATCTGAGGTGGCAGGGGGCTGGAAGAGCCAACTGCCATATACTGGGCCCTTCTCTTGTCCTTCTCCCTTTTTTGTATCTCTTTTCCTCGGCCTTGTTGGTCTCCTCTCTGTCAATGTAGGTCTTCAGACCATGTTCAATCTCTGGAGCTAATGAAAAAAACTTAGAATCACTGGCCCTTTTACAGTTTGTAGTGAGGCACTGCAGCACATACACATTTGTTTTCCCTAAGATCCCTCTCTCACACCTAAACATTTTCTTTGCTTTCTTACTTTTCTTTAACACGTGCTTTTGCTTTCCTTACTTTTTCTTCCTTTCTTGCAACACTACTTTATAACACATTCTTTTGCTTTCTTAAAAATTTCCTTCCTTTCTCAGACATACTTGCTTTTGTCTTTTCATCTCTTCTTGCTTTGACCTTTTAAACACTTTCTTAAAATTTCTTTTCCTCCCTCTAGCTCAGACCTTCAACACTTGCTTTGGCTTTCTTCAAACACTCTCACTCTCTTTAAGACATTTAACACTTGCTTTTACCTTCTTCCTTTTTCTAAGATCCCGCTTTCAGACCTTCAAAATATCCATGTTTAATACCTGTTTTTCCCTTTAAACACACATCACACTTTACTTTCATTTAGGTTTATGACATCCTCTGTTTTTAGTAAGACATTGCAATAGCCATGATACTGTTATCTTCTTGAAATAGATGCCTTAGACAGAAACACATGTTTTAAAAGAGAATAGTTTTCTTTTTATATAATAAGGATTCATCTCAGTCCCATGTGCACAGAAACCTGACTGTCAAACTCTCCTGAGAGAGGCCTTGAGATGACTGCTGCAAACACCAGTTGTTGGGCAGCCACATGTATGAGAACGTCCTCCCTTGTTTGTGGACAGCTCACTTGTTCCAAGGGGCCTTCCTGGACCTTTTTCCGAGGCATGAGGGATAGACACCAGAAACATTGATTGTGGGAGCTGTTTCTTTTAATTGCCACTCAGTCTCACTAAAAGGTTCAATGTCACCTGACTTGCGCCACCTGCACAGGCCACCTGCCACCACCACAGTGGCCCATTCTCATGAGCTGTGTGTGGATTCCCAACTAAGGAAAGGCCTGTGTGATAAGTGATTTAATGTAGACTCATCTGAAGGCAGGCAGGTCCCTGAAAGAACATCTTGCAGGGGGAGCACAGGGTCTCCCGGCCTCCTCCTCAAGCCCCCCACACACTGCTGTGATCACAGGCACAGCGAGCAGGTTACTGGGCTCTGGGAGGATCAACTTGCTATGAGCCCTCAGGGTTGGGGATGGGACTCATCACCGGGGCGTCCATCAGTATCCAGGTGGGACTCGCTGCTTTCTTTGTTGGATGGAGGGTTTACAGAGACACCCCTCATGCCAAGCCCCATGACATGGGTATTCCCTAACTCTCCTTTTGTCCTTGTATCTCTGCAGGACGTGAAAGACACCTTGAAAAGGTAAGTGGTTATCTTTATTTGGAGAGAAGGGGTCTGAGTACATAGAGCTCATGGGATGTCCCACTAAAGAAATCCATCCTCTTCTAGGTCTAGGAGTTCAGTCCCAGAGTCCGTGTCTTCGGAGCCTCACACTGACTGCAACGATTCTGACCTCCACTGTGAGGAGAGGAAAAGGTTAAAGACCGACGAAGGTATGGAAAGTCAAGAATTCTTCAGTTTTAACCACGTTCACAACCTACCTATAGACAGTCGACAGACAGACAGGCTATGTAATTGTTCCAGTGGAGATTTCAGGATGCCCCAGAGCTTCCCAGGGACACAGGATACTGGGGACCTCTAGGGACTCTTCAGATGCTGCTTGCGCATTGATTAACTGTGTCCCACAGGTGAATCAATTCCTTCATTCCAGTTTCCCTTTCACTGGCCATCATAAAAATTTAGTGCCTCAACCCTTGTAAGTTGCTTAGTACAGTAACAGGGCCATAAAATTTACTGTTAATATTTCAGGAAGTCTGAGAACAATGCAAGAAAGGCAGATGATACAAATAGTTTCAGGACCTTGACCCAAATGACATTTTCAAATCCCTCATCCACAATTACAGAGTTGTAAGGCTCTAAAAAGCTCAATATTTCCTCCTAACTCATTTCTCTGTTAAATTAGTCCTAACCAGATTATTAGCTGGCTTATTCAGTTATATGCTGCTATAAAGCACTTTAGTGGCTTAAAGCTGAATAAACACATTTTCTCAAAGAATCATGTTTGGGAAATCTGGGCACAGCTCAGGTGGGGTCACAAAGAGCAGTTATGGTGCTGGCTGGGCTGCGTGTCATCTGGTGACTCTTGTGGGGAATAATCCTCTCCCCATTTTCCTCTAATTGTTGGCAGAATTCCTTTTTTGTGGGTATAGCAATAAGCCCTGATTCTTGTCACCTGAGAGCTGCCTCAGCTTCTGCTAGCTACCACTCATCACGTGGCAAATGCGCCTTCCACATGGCCACATTTCTTTAAAGTGAGCTGAGCTGAGGAGATAGTCTTTAAATTAAGTCAACTGTAATGTGGGGTCCTTCCTAAGGAAACATGACCATAGTGGCGCATCCCATCATGTTTGCCATTGCTCAAAGGCAATTCTCAGGTTATGTCCACACTCAGATGGAAGGAGTTTTACAAGGCTGGGAAAATGAGGAGGCAGGAATCATGCAAACACCTTGGAGTGGCCCTCTATTGTGCCACCCCTGACCTGCGCTCATCCGACTCTACTTAACATCTTTATTAGTCCTACCTGCTGCAGGACTCTTCAATGTATTAATTCAAGGCTATTGCAGAACCTGCTGAGGGTGGGCACATAATTTAGAGGATCTGTATGTTATGTCATTATAACCTCAAAAATATTCTGAATTTTGTATTTGCCCAAAGGTTTTCAGATATGTGATTATGAACCTGTTAGTGATTCCTCTCTCCTGTCCTGACAAGTGAATACCTCCAGCCATTTAAATTAGAGTATCTCTGATTTTGATCCAATAAAGACACATGGAAGGGAGAAGCAGGAATTGATGTAACTGGTGTTCAGATTTCACTGAGTGGATTTATCTCCTGTTATCTTTTACACAAGACGTTACATTATGGTTCAGTGTATTTCTGAAATCAGCATCTGCCGCACATAAAGGATTCTTTTTCTTTTAAAAGCCCTCATTTTTAAAACATCTCTTGCTACATAATTGTTACAAATAAACTAAAATCAATTAAATGGTATTTGTGGAGGCACAAAGGCCCAGGTCCCCTGCCTGTCCTTCACTGTGAAGAATTGTGTCTCCTTCATCTCTGCCTCTAACCACAATTTGGAGCTTTTCAGGAGGAGCCACGGCCTCAGCCCCTGCAGCCAAGACATCAGGAGAACAACCAGGAACATCAGAGGAGCAGCCAGGGACGTTAGGGGAGCAATCAGCGAGTAGGAGATGTCCCTTCTACCATCCTTCGATTCAGCAATCAGTTATTAAGGAGTTTTTGCAGCGTTTAGATGAAGCCATCAGTGCAGCCCCCAAGGACGTAGAGGGTGAGAAGCTGTGTGAGATACACGCAGTGCGGCTCCGCCTGTTCTGTGAGGACACCGGGCAGCTCATCTGCAAGTTCTGTGCCCGGTTCCGCAAGCACAGAGGACACAAACATGTCCGCGCCAAAAATGCCTGTCTGCGCTCCAAGGTGAGTGAGGGCCCCGATCCTGCAATGGCACGTGATCTGAGGCTGAACTCCCAGATCTAAGGTTATTTAGGCTGAAACGCAAGATGTTGATCTGGAAATATAGCTTTCATCATCTCATCCTTCTGAAAATTAGTTCATGTTAGTTCCCCAGAACACATCCCATGGTCCATATAGACTTTCATAGGGTGGTAAGTCTCATCCCTATTCCCTATGCTGTGATGCCCCCTGCTGTAGAATACGATTGTCCAAACACACGCTGCCCTGTTTTATCTTCATATGCGTGTAAGTTAAAGAAATTGCATTGTGAAGGTCATGCGACGGATCAATAAACAGGCACAGAGATCACCAGATTTTATTTCTACTGCAGTCTGCGAGGTTCAACCAATCCCCAAAAGAAAATTCCCTGGAGTTCTTTCATGTAGGCTTAGTTCCCACCCATTTGGGAGTGAATCCGGGGAATTTTGGAAGAGAGTCCTGATGGACACAGACAACTTTCCACATAAAGGAGCTGGAAAAAAGCTTCTTTTAGATGGTTACTGTCTTGTTCTGGGTGCAGTGTTTCTGGCAAAGCTGTAGAGACCTGTACAGCTCCGCCTGAGGGTCAGCACATGAGGGTCAAGAAGCCAATAGTCATAGCCCTCGGGCAGGTTAGTTACCCCTTCCCCAGCCTCTTGAGTCTCCAGCAGACATGATGGCAGCTATCCTGCCACGTGCTCTGGGAATAAGGGGTCACCTGTATCACTGCACACAGTCCTTGGGGCACTTATACTGAAAGTGTAAGGACTCAACTCTATTTCACGTCATTCTGGTCTCTTGGAAGGCAGGGATTCCTCTCAGGGACCTGATGAATCTGTTCTTAACTGTACTGTGTTTCTTCACCCAATTTTAATCAGGAAAAACTCCAGGAGGCTGTTACAAAACCAGGGGAACAGGGAGACCAATGTGACAGTCTGAAGTTGAGCACAGGAGAGCAAACAAAGGAATTGGAGGTAAGAAGTTGAATCTTTTCCATCCTAGAGCATACACAGAGGGCTTGGTTGGGCAGAGCATGAACTTGATGGTTTATTCTCACCAGCCCATGAGAAATAGATGACAGCCAAAGAAGCAACATGCTTTATTTGTATGTCCCTAGTGTGTATGAAAATTTTTCTGTTATCTTTTCAGCATTAAAATTGTGATTGTTATTTCGCTGAGCATGATCCCTTCCAGCTCCATCCATGTTGCTGCAAATTGCATGAGTTCACCTTTTTTTATTGCTGAGTAATATTCCATTGCGTATATGTACCAAATCTTCTCAATCCAGTCATCTACTTTTGGGCATTTGGATTGTTTCTATAGCTTAGCTATTATAAGTAGTGCTGCTATAAACAGGGGGTGCAGATGTCCCTTTAGCCAGAAAAAGGAAACTACTGGGTGTTCTCACTCATAGCAGGAATTTAGAAAAACTAAATAAGGGATTGGGAAAAAGACTAATTATAATAAAGTAAAAATCAAAATCAACAAGCAGCTATAAACCAAAGACACACTACAGGGCGGCGTGGGGGAGAAACGAGTAGGATCAAAACGGGGCGGGGTGGGAATTTGGGAATTGTATGGGGAATATAACCAAGATGAAAATGCATACATTGTTCAAAAAATGAAAAATGATGTGAAAAATATGTAAAATAAAATAAAAATGCTCACACAAAAAAATAAAGAAATCCAAAAAAATATCGTGATTGTTTAGGATGCCCACCCTTGCTTGGTGATGTTCATCAAAAGCCTTCCCTTCACACACTCCCTCAGGAATGGAGATTTACACATCCCTGTACCTGGTGGGTAACAGTGGGAGAAAGAACAAAGGTGATGGTGTTTAGTGGGTGGGTTTCGTGTGGAAAGGATTAACTAGTTGTGCAGATGGAGAGTGGAGATGGGGGCGCCACAATATGAAGATGATGCCGATAAAGAAAATTATGACAGCCTCCCAGGTGATTCAGCAGCAGTAAACTTCAGACATTTGTCCACTTCCAAGGACTTATGTGGAGAGTATCTTTGTAGCTGAACAGACTTTCCTGTGTGTGTGTGATGGGGGCATAGTGGAGAGTGTTCATTAAACAAATCAAAAAATTCACATGCTCCCCATCTTATACCTTGTCTTTACTGCATCAACATCACACTGTGGAGCCCCCATCTCCACTCCCCATCTGCACAATGCTTTCATCCTCCCAACCTGGAACTCTCCCCAGTTAACAGTGTCCCTCTGTCCCTGCTGTCACCTGGTCCACCATACCATGTTCTGTTTTTACATCTGACTAGGACATATATTGTCTGTTATTCTGTGACCATAGTTTCTTCCTGGCTCATGTATGTTGTAACACAGCAGAGTTTCCTGTTTCTTTTAGGTTGAGCTGTTATGGGAGATTTTCTTTGGGGAAGCAGGGAACACTCAGAGAAGAGGAGGGAAGTTCTTTATTTGCGCTGGCGGGCTTTACCAGCAAGGCGGAGGAGATCTCTCTCCAAAATCTGAGCCCCCACAACCAGGGTACAGAGTATTCATTGACTAAAAAGGAATACACTCAGCTGGGGATGCATGACTCAGGGTGCCTGTGGCCTTGAGATCACTTATCCGTTGTTCCCTAAAATTCTCAGTCTATGGTCTCTGTCCCATCTTCAGCTAACCAACAGGTCAGCCTGACATTTTCCACTACATTTCCCCCTTTTTAAATTTTATTCCGTCATTTCTATGGTGCTCAGATCTCAGGGTGCAGCCTTTGAACATGTTTTTTTTTTTTAGAATTTCAGTGTGTGTAAATGAAACTACAGTCAGTCACTGCCCAGTGTACTGTTTTTGTTTCATCCTCCCGGACTTTCTGACCTCCCCTCTGGTGTATGTTGGTTAACACTTAGAATTTGCTGTCTTTGCCTCAGAAGCCTCTTTAACTCTCTTGAAGTCCCTGCCTGCACTGTCCCTGAAACTGCCTACTTAACTGTAACTTGCCCTGGGATTCAGTTCCCTTCTACAGATGGAGTCCCTCACTGTTCTTAGGACAAGGGCATCAATCTGACCAGTCGCTGCTTCCTGCTGAAAATGGGTGACGCGGGCAAGCAGTCAGGGCTCCAAAAGAGGCCAAGATTGATTTTAGCCTACTAGGTCCTTATCCCACCTATAAGGCCATCTATTCTATAGATATTTTTTAATAAGTTTAGGTTTACTTTTTTCTCCTAGAATTGTGAAAGTGTCCTAGCTCAGACTAGTCATCAGTATGCCAATTTAAGGAAAATAGAGCAAGGCAGAGTAAGTGGCCTCTAATTCACCAAGATGGTGATTTATTTTTGACTGCCATTTTTAGGGTCATCCAAGGTTTCTCTCATCTCTGGGCTTCTTTAGAAAACGTCTTCTCCTGTGCCTGGTTCTTCATAGTCAGAAGCAACTGACCGTCAATCCTGTCCTCCCATCGTGGCCTGTGGTTTGGGCTGCCCCCCTGTCTCTCTCAGAGAGAGGAACAGTCCCTCTTGCAGTGACCTGAGCAATGGCACTGAGGACATAGCATGGGGGTGGCTTCTTTAGACACTCGTGGATGAGGTGTCCCGGCTGCTGGCAGTAGAAGCAGGCTGGCAGCCCACGAACGGGGTGAGGTCCCGAATGCCTGGGACGATGGGGCCTCGGGCGAGTCAAAGGAGGCAGGGGGGGCTGGCAGTGCCAACTGCCATATACTGGGCCCTTCTCTTGTCTGTCTCCCTCATTTTTCTCTGCTTTTCCTCAGCCTGACTGGTCTCCTCCTTGTCAGTGTCGGTCTTCGATCTTCAAGACCATGGTCAGTCTCTGGAGCTAATGAAAGAAACTTTGCTAGAATCACTTGTCCTTTTACAGTTGTAGTGTGTCGTTGCAGCACATACACATTTGTTTTCCCTAAGATCCCTCTCTCACACCTAAACACTTTCTACTTTTCTTTAACACTTGCTTTTGCCTTTTTTCACTTTTTCTTCTTTCCTTATGCTACTTTTTAACACTTACTTTTTTGCTTTCTTAAAAATTTTCTTTCTCGAATAAGAAAAATACCAGATGGTCTCACTCATAGCAGGAATCTAGAAAACTTAAATAAGGGACCAGGAAAAAGAGTAACTATAAGAAAGTGAAAATCAAAATCAACAAACAACTATGAATCAGAGACACTCTATGGGGGGTCGGGGGCAGGGAGGAGAGGGATTGGGGTCAAAATAAGGGGGTTGCATTTGTATGGGGAATATAAAAATTAAATTTAAATTAAAAAAAATTTCTTTCTCAAACCTACTTACTTTTGTCTTTTCATCTCTTATTGCTTTGACCTTTTAAACACTTTCTTAAAATTTCTTTTCCTCCCTCTCAGACCTTCAACACTTGCTTTTGCTTTCTTAAAACACTCTCACTCTCTTTAAGATGCTTAACATTTGCTTTTACCTTCTTACTTTTTCTAAGATCCCTATTTCAGACCTTCAAAATATCCATGTTTAATACATTTTTTTTCTTTTAAATGCACATCTCACTTTACTTTCATTTAGGGTTATGACATCCTCTGTTTTTAGTAAGACATTGCAATAGGCATGATACTATTATCTCTTTGAAATACATGACTTAGATGGATACACATGTTTTAAAAGAGAATAGTTTTCTTTTTTTACAATGAGGATTCTTGTCAGTCCCGTATGCACAGAACCCTGATTGTCAAACTCTCTCCTGAGAGACGCCTCGATATGACTGGTGCAACCACAGTTGTTGGGTAACCATGTGTATGAGACCTTCCTCCCTTGTTTGTGGATAGCTCACTTGCTCCAAGAGACCTTTCTGGACCTTTTTCTGAGGCATGAGGGATCGACCCCAGAAACATTAATTATGGGAGCTGTTTATTTTATTTGCCACTCAGTCCCAAGGACAATGTTTCATGTCATCTGACTTGCTCCACCTGCACAGGCCACCTGCCACCATCACAGTGGCCCATTCTCATGAGCCATGTGTGGATTCTTCACTAAGGAAAGGCCTGTGTGATAAGTGATTTAATGTAGACTCATCTGAAGGCAGGCAGGTCCCTGAAAGAATGTCTTGCTGGGGAGAGCACAGGGTCTCCCGGCCTCCTCTTTGAGCCGCCCACATGCTGCTGTGATCACAGTCTTGTTGGATGGAGGGTTTACAGAGAACACCCCTCACGCCAAACCCCATGATATGGGTATTGCCTAACTCTCCTTTTGTCCTTGTGTCTCTGCAGGACATGAAAGACACCTTGACCAGGTAAGCGTTGTCCTTATTTGAAGGGAAGGGTCTGAGTACGTGGAGCTCACGGGATGTCCCGCTGAAGAAATCCGTCCTCTTCTGAGTCTAGGAGTTCAGTCCCAGAGTCCGCGTCTTCAGAACCTCACATTGACTGCAATGATTCTGAGCTCCACTGTGATGAGAGCAAAAAGTTAAAGACTGACAAAGGTATGGAAAGTCAAGAATTCCTCAGTGTTAACCACGTTCACAGTGGAGATTTGAGGATCCCCCAGAGCTTCCTCAGGGACACAAGATACTGGGGACCTCTGGAGATCCCTGAGATGCCTGCTCGCCCATTGATTAACTGTGTCCCCAAGTGAATCAAATCCTTCATTCCAGTGTCCCTTTTTCCGGTTCTTATAAAAATTGAGTGCCTCAATTTTTGTAAGGAGCTAAGTACAGTAACTGGGCCATAAAGTTTACTGTTAATATATCAGGATGTCTGAGAACAAAACAAGAAAGGTAGATGATGCAAATAGTTTTAGGACCTTGACCCAAATGACATTTTCAAATCCCTCATCCACAATTACAGAGTTGTCAGGCTCAAAAATCTCAATGAGTTCCCCCAGCTCATATCTCTGCTAAATTTACCCTAACCAGAATATATTTGCTGGCTTATTCAGTTATATGTTGCTGTGAAACACTTTATTGGCTTAAACCTGAAGACACACATTTTCTCAAGGAGTCGTGTGTGGGAAATTTGGGCACAGCTCAGCTGGGGTCACAAAGAACAGTTATGGTGTTTGCTGGACTACATGTCATCTGGTGACTCATGTGGGAAATAATCCTCTCCCCATCTTCTTCAGTTATTGGTAGAATTCCTTTTTTTTTTTTTTTTTTTTTTGGATGTAGGACTTAGGCCCCGATTCTTGTCAGCTGAGAGCTTCCTCAGCTTCTGGAAGCCACCACTCATCACATGGCATATGGGCCTTCCACATGGCCTGTTACTTTTTTAAAGTGAGCTGAGCTGAGAGATAGTCTTTAAGTCAGTGTAACATGGGGTCCTACGTAAGGGAATAAGACCATAGTGGCACATCCCATCATTTTTGCCATTGCTTGGCGGCAATTATCAGGTTATGCCCACATTCAACATGGAAGGAGTTTTACAAGGCTGGGAAAATGAGGAGGCAGGCATCGTGCAAACACCCTGGAGTCGTCCTCCATCGTGGTCCCCCCTGAATTACACTCATCTGACTCCACTTAACGTCTTTATTTGTCCTATTTGGTGCAGGACTATCGATGTATTTATTCATGGCTCTGGCAGACCCTGCTGGGGGTGGGCACATAATTTAGAGGTTCTGTATATTAGGCCATTATAACCTCAAAGATATTGTGAATTTATATATTTGACCCCAAGGGCTTCAGATAAGGGAATATGAAGCTGTAAGTGATTCCTCTCCCTGTCCCAATTAGTGATTCCTCTTCCCTGTCCTGACAAGTGAATTCCACAAGCAATTTAAAATAGAGTATCTCTGATTTGATCCAACAAAGACACATGGAAGGGAGAAGCAGGAATTAATAGAACTCATGTTCACATTTCACTGAGTTGATTTATCTGCTGTTATCTTTTACACAAGACTTTGTGTCATGGTTCAGTGTATTTCTGAAATGAGCTGGTGTCACCCCTAAAGAGTTCTCTTTTAAAAACCCTCATTATTAAAACATTTCTTACTACATAATTTTTACCAATAAATTGTAATCAACTAAATGGTATTTGTGGGGGCACAAAGGCCCAGGTCACCTGCGTGTCCCTCACTGTGGAGTATTGTGTCTATTTCTTCTCTGCCTCTAACCATGATTTGGACCATTTCAGGGGAACAACCAGAGACATCAGAGGAGGATCTAGGGACGTCAGACGAGGACTCATGGATATCAGACGAGGATTCATGGATATCAGACGAGGATTCATGGATGTCAGACGATGATTCATGGATGTCAGACGATGATTCATTGATGTCAGATGTGGAGCCAGGGACATCAGATGAGGAGCTAGGGACATCAGACGAGGAGCCAGGGACGTCAGACGAGGAACCAGGGATACCAGACAAGGAACCAGGGACATCAGAGGAGGAACCAGGGAAATCAGAGGAGGAATCAGGGAAAACAAGGTAGGAAGCAGGAACAACAGGGAGCACCAAGGAGGAGATGACTATGGTGTTGGAGGCCGCCCTTCAGCTATTCTTCGTGTGAGGTAGCAAATAATATGGAAGCTCCAGCTTGAAATGGAAGCCCATTATAAGTCGAGAGGGGAGCCCCCAGGGAGGTAGCGGATGAAAGCTGCCTGTTATGTGAGGACACTGGGCAGCCCCATTGCAGGAGCTGTGCACAGTCTCCCCAGCACAGCGGACACAACCATGTCCTTGCCAAAGATGTGTGTCCGAGCTACGAGGTGAGTGAGCACCCCAGACTCCTGTAGCAGCACCTGCTCTCGTCCATGCTCACATCTATGGTTATTTAGGTTGATACCCAAGATTGTGATGTGGAAATGAAAGTTTCATCCTCTTGTTCTTCTAAAAATTAGATCATGTTGTTTCCCTCTTGTTCTTCTAAAAATTAGATCATGTTGTTTCCCTAAAATACAATCCCACAGGGCCTCCCCGGTGGCGCAGCGGTTGAGCGCTGGGTTGCAAACCTGCCCGCAGCCTCTGCGGCGCCGGTTCGATCCCCGGCTGGATCCCCGGCTGCTCCCCAGCCACCGGAGGAGGGTCCCAAATGGCGCGCAGACCTCTCCTGCGGCCCGCTGCTCCCCTCAGCAGTGTACTTCGGTCCTTCTGCCTGCTCTGCTCCCCGCTCTGGCTCTGGTGAATTCTCTCACCCTCCCACGCTTCTGACTGTACCCAGTGCATGTATAAACAAAACAAATAAATAAATAAATAAATAAACTTGCCTCTATAAAATTAAAAAAAAAAAATACAATCCCACAGTCCATATAGACTTTCAGAGGATGGGGGAGTCTCATCCCCATTCACTCTCGCTGTGATGGCCCCCTGCTTTAGAATACAGTTGTCCCATCATGTGCCAGCCTATTTTATGTCCACATGTGTGTGAAATTAAAGAAACCACGATGTGCAGGTCATGTGACAGATTCCCAAAATGGTCACAGACACCACCAGATTTTATTTCTCCTGCAGTGTGCTAGGGCAAAGCAGTCAGCGAAAGAAGACTGCCAGGAGACCTTGATGTGGGTGGTAGGTTTAGGCCCTACTAAGTTGGGAGTGGAATCTGGGGAGCTTTCTGGAGGAGAGTCCTGATGGACACAGACAACTTTCCACATAGAGGAGTTGGATAAAGGCTTCTTTTAGATGGTTACTGTCTTGTTCTGTGTGCAGTGTTTCCTCACGAGCCTGTAGAGGTGCCTGTAGTTCCATAACAGCTTTAGCAGATGAGGCTCAAGAAACCGATAGCTTATATTAAACATACACTGGTTTTATTTAAGGTGCACTTTTGTTATCCGATAAACATGTCATTGTTGGTTTATGTTTCTTCTCTTTTGCAGTCAGCGTGACTCTGGATGAAGATACAGCTCATGATGACATAACTCTGTCTGAGAACCAGAGAGAAGTGACTTATAGACAGAACCTTAAGAAGAAGCTTCACACTACCAGGACGTTTAGAGTGTGACCCTGTGTCCTGAGCTGTGAGGGCTTCACCTCAGGGAGACATTACTTTGCAATGGACATGGGAGAAGGAGCTGAGTGTGATTTGGGAGTTTGTCTGGAGAATGTGCCCAGGGATGTAGAGGGGATGCTGGAGCCTCAGTCTGCTTTCTGGGCCATCAAATGCACAAACAATGACCACATTCCCCTGACTGGTCCTGCACCCTCTCTTCTTCCTCAGAACCCATGCCAGATTTAGGGGTCTTTCTGGACTGTGAGGCTGGACATGACAGCTGGCTCCCACATAGAAACTTTTGCATAGGCCTCCTTCCGTGATACTTTCTGAGCCTTTTACAGGGTTAGTCATTCTTCTTTATTCCTGCCTCCACCAGAAACATAGGAAAAGAGTAAAATCTTTGGTTTACTCTTGGTTGAACCTTCCTTTAACCCTCAGAGGGACAACGACCAGACTTAGCGAGTCTATTGGGCAACAATGGAGTGACGTGAGAGAGATTTACAGAGGTTACTGCGAGGGTCTCAGTGAGGGGGAGATTATGAGTGAATAGGAAGTCTGTTGACGTCTCAGTAGGAAAAAAGTTGCTCTATGCCAGACTCTGCTAGTGCCAGTTATCTTGAATTATTAGAAAATCTCACACATACATTCGTGACATTGTTCATAGTCTTTTCATGATAAAGATATGATCATATAGGCCTTTGTCACACCTAAATTTCCTGACCTGATTTGGGAAAGGACAGCAGCACAGTGGTGTAGTCAGCCTGGTCACAAAGCATCAATGATGACAGAATAAAAAGTCACTGAGTGGACCTCCCCGGTGGTGCAGTAGTTGAGCGCTGGGTTGCAAAGCTACCCGCAGCCTCTGCAGCGCCGGTTCTATCCCCGGCTGCTCCCCGGCCACCGGAGGAGGGTCCCACCTGGTGCGCAGACCTCTCCTGCCACCCGCTGCTCCCCTCAGCAGTGTACTTCGGTCCTTCTGCCTGCTCTGCTCCCCACTCTGGCTCTGGTGAATTCTCTCACCTCTTGCCCTTCTGACTGTACCCAGTGCTTGTATAAATAAATAAATAAATAAATCTTTATAAAAAAAAAAATTAAAAAAAGTCACTGAGTTGCCAAACATTACTGTAATGGTTTTTGATATAAAAAGATCCATTTTGTTGACATTGCAATCTTCTGAATCATTGGTCCAAGAAAGGAGTAGTGAAGTCAAGCAGAAAAATCTGTAAAAAAAATAATAACATGTAAACAAAAACTGACAATTATAAACCAAAGACATCTAGAAGGAGGGGAGGAGGGAGAGGGATCAAGGGAGGAAAGGAGGAGCACAGGGGACTGAGGTGATGGTGCACGGGTACATTGGTGAAGGAAATTCTATGGGGACTACACCTAAGGGAGTGGGGGAAGCAAATATTGTTTAAAAATGAACAATGATGTAACAAATAAGTTTAAAAAAGTAAGTAAACACATACACACACTCAGAGCCCACCTTGTACCCTGGATGTCAGGTGCAGTCACCAGACATTGCATCGATGCTGCTATCACCTGCATCCCCAGCATTATAAGGTCCCCAGCCGCGTTCCTAGGGTCAACTTGTGACTTGGAAGTGACAGATTACAGAACGGACCCCTCCAATATGCATTTTCGACACAGAATAATGGTGAGCTGCAGCCTATTGAGAAAAATCAGATGAAGAAACGTTCTCTGCTCTCTTCCTGCTGCCATGTTGTGGAGATACATTTGTATGATGTCATCATCTCTTCTTATCAGAAGACAGAAGTTATCACCAGAGACCTCCTGACCCTCCTCAGCCCAGAGACCACACCAGGGGCAGCCACAGAACACACCTGCTGACCCTGACCCTTGTCTGCCATCACCTCGTAGAGAAGCCTTCCTGTAACTTGCCACCTACAAAGAAATTTATTTGTCTTGTCAGTGTATAAAAAAAAATTACAGGCTTTACTGAAAATTCCCTCTCAGCCCAAACTGTAACCACCCGATGGAGCTTTTCCTCTAAGGGCCCGTGTCCGTGCAGGAGGCACCTGTTTTGGGGAAAAGTCCCCACTTTCTCCTTTGTGCTCCCATGACCACACACACTTCATGGCTGACACAGGATGTGGGGACTTTTTCCCCATCCATTTGGGTGTCTTGGAGGTCAACTCAATGGACACAACTGAAGTGAGAGGCCCCACCTCCCAGCTCTAGACACTCTCTGAGTCTCCCCTCCCCTCCTGGTGTCCTGGGTCCTGTGTGGCCCAGTGTGGCCTTCCCAGCCAGGGGCGGCTCCCTCCTCTGGGCAGGCCAGGTTCAAATTACTGTCCTCAGGGGAAATTATGTTCCTTCAACATTTGGATTCTGAACAACAACAAAAAAAATTATGGTAAAGAAATCATTCAGACAAGGAAAATAAAAACAATTCTTGGAAAACCATAACAAAAAATATAGTAAAGGGAAAATTAGACATTATTTGTTGCAGGCAAATTATAGAAAGAAAATAGGCCCTATTGGTCTTTTAGGCAAGAACGCTCTAATTATAGATAAATCACTGGCCACCCACATTTTTTTAACAAGGAGCACTCGGTAAAACAGAAGCAGGCAAGAGCATATACTAGAAATTTTAATTTTGAGAGTAACTTGAAGAACAAACTTCAAATTAAATGAAATCTATGGTTAAGTGCTTCTGAAAAGACTGACATAACTGACTCAAGAAGGGGAAGAAAACGTTAACTAATACATGCTGCATTCATAAAGGTGCAGAGTCCAATTCAATAAGGTAACAGAAGTTGATAAGTGATTGGCTTTGCAAAGGCTTGGTGCTGGGAAGAGGTGATGTTATAGGACAGGGAGAGGGGCAGCCCAAGCCCCGCAAACCTGCCTATTCTATTTTTTTTTTTTTTTTTAATAGAGGCATGTTTTATTTATTTATTTATTTGTTTTGTTTGTTTTGTTTATACATGCACTGGGTACAGTCAGAAGCGCGGGAGGGTGAGAGAATTCACCAGAGCCAGAGCGGGGAGCAGAGCAGGCAGAAGGACCGAAGTACACTGCTGAGGGGAGCAGCGGGCGGCAGGAGAGGTCTGCGCGCCATGTGGGACCCTCCTCCGGTGGCCGGGGAGCAGCCGGGGATCGAACCGGCACCGCAGAGGCCGCGGGCAGCTTTGCAACCCAGCGCTCAACCGCTGCGCCAACGGGGAGGCCCAAAACCTGCCTATTCTAAATGGGTTCTGCCATCCGCCGCATCAACACAAAACACATGAGACTTTAATGGGAAGGAACTTTAATAAAACTAGGAAACAATACAGGTAAGGCAAAGAGTCTAGTTTCTAAATGAAGCACCCAAAGTTACCCATCCCCTCGTGGGTAAAACTCCATCCATATGGGGTCGGCCCAGAGCAAGGCCCCAAAGCCTGCCACAAGTCTAAAACATCTTCCAGTGGGGACCCACAGAAAAGGGTCACAAACAACCGGACAAGCCCGGAAGGAAAAGAGCAAAATCAACATCCAGATAAAAGCTGCCATTGTCACCTCCCCACGGGTCTCACCCACATCTGTGTCACCCAGTCCACGACCAAAAGACAAGCGCAGTTTCTTTACGTGTCTCTAGGCTCCATGCGCCTCCTCCAGGTCTCCTGGCTCCATCCTGCTTCCTTCCTTCCTTAGTCTCTTCTTCTTCTCCTCTTCCTGCTCAGCTCCACCCTCCCTTGGGTGGGGCAGGGAACCTCCCCCTTTCCTGGGGACCACCCTGTTACAGTGATACTGATCTACCTGCAAAGTTTGGTGCTTTTACTCTAGGAAGGGAATGTACACAATATATTAAATGTCCTTCCAAATGCCCCTACAGCCTCCAGACACCCAGGGAGTCTGTTCTTGTGTTCTAGTGCTTGTGACAGGCCAGCTCCCTTGCACAGACCCAGTGTTCCTGTACCTGGTAGGCCACTCACCGCCCTCACCTAGAGGGGCTGGAGGCAGCTCCCAAGGATGTCCTGAGTGTCTCCAGGGAGGCTTTCTGCTCCTTTGTAAAATGAAAGCTCTGAGAAAATGGCTGACTCTAAAGGAAACTGCAGGAGATCAATGGGGACTGCAGGTGTGACTACATGGGAGAGAAGAGAGGTGAGTGACCCTCACGGTGCTTTGGGAATGGTAGAGGGCAGCAAATTCTCCCAACTGGGGGCCAGCCTGATGCAGAACCAGAGAACCCACTACCCCTGTCACTATATTGGATCAGACTGTTCTCAGATGGAATAGGGGATGAAGAAACTGAAGGGAGAATGAGCCACAGCCCCTCAGTGCAGCCATGCTCTGACATGGTTTCACTGATATGCAGGGATTTGTAGGTTTCTAGTTTTCACTCAACTTAAAACATGTTCAGCTGTTACTTCTTCAAATGTCCTTTCTGCTCCCTGCCCAAGCTTCTTCTGCTTTCCCAAGGCCAGGGGCACAGCTCACTGACGCCTGCTCATTGTGTTTTCCTTCTGTGTCTGGGTTTCATTTTCTATAGTTTTTAGTCCTGTGCCTTCCAGTTCCTAATTGTGTATTTTGCAGTGTCTAATCAGTTGATCCCATCATGTGCCTTTCTGTCTATATCCTAGTTTCCTTTTGTAGAAGTTTACTTTGGGTCTTTTAAAATCCTCTTAGCACCTCCTAAGAGGTGCTTGGTGGCCTAAGGGTTAAGTCTTAGCACTATGACAGTGATGCTCCTCCTTGATATTCTGAGTTCTATCCCTAGAGCACAGATGGTGCAGCAGAGCTCTCCTGTCTTGCCTGCTGCTCCCCTCAGTAGCATATTTCAGTAACCTGCCTCTTCTGCTCCCCACTGTGTCTCTGGTGAATCCTCTCACCCCACACACCTTTTGCTTACACCCCAGTTCTTCTACTCAAAAAAAAAAAAAAAAAAAATCTTTGAAAAAAAATCCTCTTAGGGGTGTGTGTGTGTCTTGTAAACATGGAATGCAGTTAAAAAATTGCCAAAAAGTCCTTTCTACTTATTCTAGCAGGTGTGTCAGTCCTGGTAAATTTTCATTAACTCATCCTTCTCTTTATTATGATTCACTCCTGTCACAGGCAGGGACTTCAGTTTTCAGATTGCGCCTACCTGCAGACCTTGTATTTCAGCCACCTTCTCCTACTTCTCTGGTGGAAATGTGTGGGGTTGGTTGTTTTTACATGATGTTACCACTTCTGAGCACTGGTTTTAGTGAGATGGACACGCTGGATCTGATGAAAATACTAGATGGAGATAAAAATATGTTTTTCCATCTTCCAATGCAGAGTCTGATTTATGTCTGATTGGATTTTCTTTAAAACTGGGCAACTGGGCCCCCCCTGGTTGCACAAGTGGTTATGACACAACCTCTGAAGCTGTCCGCAGCAATTGCAGCATGAGTTCGATCCCTGGCCAGAGAGCTACTTACATGGTGCAGCCAACCTCTCTTGACTCGCCTACATCTCCCTTCAGCAGTATATTTCAGTTAATCCTCCTGTTCCTTTTCCTCCCTTGTGTATGGTGAATCCTCTCACTCTTCACACCTCTGGCCTGTACCCCAGATCTTGTATCCATAAATAAACAAATCTTAAAAAAAAAAATTTGACAAGTGACACCATCCATCTGGGCCTCAGTTTCCTCCATGTAATACTGGGGCTCTACTCGCAGGTTGTTGTGACAAGTGCTCAGGCGCAAAGCCTGAGGCATAGAGCACAAAAAAGGGTTTTGGGGGTGTTAATTCATATGAAGACTGCAAAGCATTTTCACATGTGTGATTTGCTAATTGGGATTCTTGGACCACCATCATTTCATCTTTGTGGAATTTTCTCCCTTCTTTGGGATCCATTTCTCCAGAAAAAAATAGAACTTCAGCTAGAAATGACAGAGGAAAGGATTCTTTCCTGGGTTGGACTTAGCCAGATTAGAAGTCCTTGTCCCTTGCTGTGTATCCGGTCACCTGGGAAGCTGCCTGATAACACAGTGACACTCAGCCTGGGCCACATTCAAAAGTCCGTAAAGAGGCCCCAGGCAGAGGACTGCTATGTAGTGGAGCTTCCACAGGGACACGGATGGTCTCTT